AACTTTAAAATGCCCCACATTTGGGCACCTGTACAACGTTGCTGATTTGATCGAGACGATCTGTGTTATTGCAAAACAGTATGGGTTTACTATTTTAATTAATATGAAGGTTTGATCAACCGTATCTGGAAATTAAAGCCACTGTCTTTTTTTGAGGTTTTATCGTTTTTTGTTCTTGTTCCTGTTGCTAATCGTTTTTAGTTTTTTGTTTCGCTTTTCGTCTTTTACTCGTTTTTTGTCCGCCTAGTGACCACCTTACTCGGTTAGCTAGGCCTCGTTTCGGAAAGCGCACCGGGAAATTTTCTCAAGTTTTCTTTAAAAGCTAACGCGGTGCAACCAGAAGGTGAATACATTCCCGTTGAACCGCACGACCGGTACTCTAGAATAGGCATGTAGGTCGGAGCTGTGTTAAGTGGGTTTGATCCCGTAGTCTTGATGTCGTAAAAACACCCAGGAGCGCCATATAAACACTATGTAACAGTCGCCTACTTATGTCACATATGAGGTTAAAGAACAAATAGGCCCTATAACCATTGGCTCAAGAGTAGGGGACACTATCTCTTGTGTTTTTCTACCTCAAGCGGTCGGAGCCGATTCGGTTCACTTGCGACATGAGACTAAAACCCGCGTTACAGCTTATAAGCCACTACCAAAATATCCCCACTCTAGAAAATAAGAACGTTCCCATACTTAGGTCTCAAAATACCTAAAACACGCGAACGCCGTTAAAAACAGGGTAGGAACAATCCGTATAGCTACTTCTTATTAGACAGTGGAACTTTGATCCAATTCAGATGGATCAACCTAAAACTCTCCTGATCTCCATATCCTGCTCAACTCCATATCCTGCTCAAACTCTCCATATCCTGCTCAGGTGTTGGGACACTTCGTACTGTCCCCAGACCTCCCACTCAAGTGTTGGGACACCCCGCACTGTCCCAAGACTGCCTGCTCAAGTATTTAGACTCCTCGCACTGTCCCAAGACCCTTCGTCCTAGTGTTGGGACACTTCACACTGTCCCAAGATCTAGTGTTGAGACACCTCGCACTGTCCCAAGACCTTATACTCAAGTTTTTGGACACTTCGCACTGTCCCAAGACCCTTCCACTCAAGTGTTGGGACACTTCTTACTGTCTCAAGACCTCCCACTCAAGTGTTGGGACACCCTGCACTGTCCCAAGACTACCTGCTCAAGTTTTGGGACACTTCGTACTGTCCCATGACCTCCCACTCAAGTGTTGGGACACCCCGCACTGTCCCAAGACTGCCTGCTCAAGTAATTAGACTCCTCGTACTGTCCCAAGACCTCCTCGTTCCAGTGTTGGGACAGTCGGATCTCTTCTTCTTTGGTGTTGGAACCCTTAGATCACTATCTCCGGTACTACCACTTGAGCCCTAGTGTTAAAAATTTCCCAAAAACCAATCTTACTGACCAAAACTTTTACCTATTAGCCCCCCTATAATTACCTCCCTTTATTAATCCGATGCAAGTCGAAACAAGCAATTGTCTAGTGATGACCTGTTTTTCAAAAACAGATAAAATTAGTTCAAAAAACGTAAAAATTTAGGCGAGATAAATGATAAAAATCAGAAAAATAAACCTACCTAAAATTGAAAGGTGACCAATGTCGTCGTTTTGTAAAAAAAATGTCTGGTACTTGATTGTCACGCGTTTTCCTCCCCTCTACTAACAATCTTATGGGGTATTCTCGTTTCGGGTATTTGAAAACTGTCTATTTCCGATCCCCCAACCCGATCTGACCAAGTTACTTACCCTAATTCGATCTTAAATTTGGATCTACTCGCGTTTCAACTCTTGTTCTGAATCTATAGATGGACCGCTCTAGACTCTGAGTCTGCTAATGTAACTAAATCAACGATAACGGTTGTATAGTTACTATAATGTGTCCCCCCTTTTGTACCGCCAACCTGTATCTTAACCAGCCCCCTTCTAACCTCCCCCTATCTAGCCCCCCCTTTCAGCCGAATTTTACCCTTAAGCGCAATGGGTGCTAAACATCTCGAGAGAAAGTCCGTAGAACCTGTTTCCAAGCTCTGCTCAAGTAAAAACTTTTCCTCAAAACAGTGGGTATCCGCTTATTCAATTTTACACTTATTTCATATAATGTAACGTGGATTCTAACGATACCCGGTTGAGCAAGTAGAACACCTCTGAGTACCCTCCTCCGTTTGCTCTGTTCTGCTTTGATCACACTGCTGGCTGGTCAACTGCCCGTTGGTCACACTTTCCACCTGGGCTGGTCACCTGTCCCAGTCAAGTCTCCCAGTGGTCAAGTCTCCCAGTCGTCCACTTTCCCGCTTCGCTGGTCACCTCTTCCAGTCAAGTCTCCCAGTGGTCCGCTGATGTCACAAGCTATCTGAAAACTTTAAAATGCCCCACATTTGGGCACCTGTACAACGTTGCTGATTTGATCAAGACGATCTGTGTTATTGCAAAACAGTATGGGTTTACTATTTTAATTAATATGAAGGTTTGGTCAACCGTATCTGGAAATTAAAGCCACTGTCTTTTTTGAGGTTTCATCGTTTTTTGTTCTTGTTCCTGTTGCTATTCTTTTTTGGTTTTTTGTTTCGCTTTTCGTCTTTTACTCGTTTTTGTCCGCCTAGTGACCACCTTACTCGGTTAGCTAGGCCTCGTTTCGGAAAGCGCACCGGGCAATTTTCTCAAGTTTTCTTAAAAAGCTAACGCGGTACAACCAGAAGGTGAATACATTCCCGTTGAACCGCACGACCGGTACTCTAGAATGGGCATGTAGGTCGGAGCTGTGTTAAGTGGGTTTGATCCCGTAGTCTTGATGTCGTAAAAACACCCAGGAGCGCCATATAAACACTATGTAACATCCGCCTACTTATGTCACATATGAGGTTAAAGAACAAATAGGCCCTATAACCATTGGCTCAAGAGTAGGGGACTCTATCTCTTGTGTTTTTCTACCTCAAGCGGTCGGAGCCGATTCGGTTCACTTGCGACATGAGACTAAAACCCGCTTTACAGCTTAAAAGCCACTACCAAAATATCCCCACTCAAAAAAATAAGAATGCCCCCATTTTCAGGTCTCAAAATACCTAAAATACGCGAACGCCGTTAAAAACAGGGTCGGAACTTTGAGATCCATTTCAAATGGATCAACCTAAAAACTCTCCCTAACTCAACATAACAATTTAAAACACACTCAAAAAAATTAAATTAGGTACTCACATACCAACACGACCTCTAGAATTGTGTAATTAAACTATAAAGCAACTTTAGAATTAATTGGGTAATTAAGTTTAACTCGAGAAGTTTGAAATAAGTAAGTTTTAACTCAAGAAACAAGTTTTTGATCTGCACCATTGGGCAATTTCAGCTGTCCAGCTTTCCACCGAAGGTTCACTCTGGTCCACTCTAGTTTACTTCCTCTCCACTCGCAATCGCTTTCCGTCTTCTGCCAAGAATAAGACAGCTCTACTCTCGTTCGAATTATGTATTGGAAATTGCGAATAGCAATTTCCGGCTGCTATTTTCGACTAATTTCCCGCGATTGTAATTCGAATCTTCTGATCTTTTTTTTTCTGATATTTTCAGTTGTCGCGAGAAACTTGAGCATGACATGCTCAATTCGAATTTTTGAAAAATTGCATTTCACCCCAAAATCCAGACCAAACGTTTTCTTGAAGTCAAACTTACAAATATGACCGACCGGCACACACGACCTTGAAATTTCACTACGACTGAAAATAAGAAAAAACAGAAGAACAACATTTGTTATAACAGACAAGTCAAACGAGAAATAGCAACGAACGAAGAAACTGAACGAAGACCATTCCGAGTAGTAACGATTGTAACTGTACAATCGTTACCGAAGACTTCCCGAGAAACAGGAAGGGTATTGGGACAATTTCACCAGCCTTCCGAAAGGACGATAAGACCGCTCTTTGTCCGGAAACCGGAAGGGTCTCGGGAAGAGAACTCAAACTGTACTTTAACAACTTTTAGCTTCCTGGAATGTCCTGATTTGAATCTTAAAACATCTAAACTCGTTTCAGATAATGAGAAGCTAGGAGTCGAGGGAAAGGCTTGATCCGTCACCGATGGGAATGATGATTTTTATCTACTGAACAAAAACAATAGTAATATAATAAATAAGTAGTAGCCTTGTTTTTAAAAGTGACCTCGTGATCTGGGGATACTGATACCCAGCCATGAGCTCACTATTTTTGCATGTAATTGAGTTAATCTGAGCATTCTGGCCGAAGCCGGAAACAGTAACGTTTTTGTCGACCCGATGTTAAAAGGACCACACAAGGAACTGGCTTTAGCAGAGACGGTAGCTGTAGAGCTGTGAAAGCATGTAGAGCTGTGTTTAGACGCTAGCCAGTCGTTTTACAACCTTGCTTTAATTTCCGTCGATATGTACTTTCGGGCGAATGTTACAAAATTTAATGATGCTAATGGTCGTTTGTACTATTTTTATTTCAAGACTAGCGTTGGGCAGTTGATTTATCTTCCCAGGACCCCGAAAAACTGTTTTAGCTTCCCAAGACTTAATTCCCTTAAGGACCCTTAAAAAACTGTCCCAGCTTCCCAAGACTTAATTCCCATAGTGTTGGGCACTTGTTCTAGGTTCCCAAGACACAAGTGCTGGGCAGTCGTTTTAGCTTCCCAGGACTCAATAATTGGGCAGTTTTTAGCTTCTTAGGACTCAACTGTTGGGAAGTTGGTTTAGCTTTCCATGAGTCAATTGTTGGGCAGTTGTTTTTAGCATGGAGAATAATATGCAGATGTGGAAACTGTAACATCACGGAAACTGTAACATCACAAACAAGATAAAACTAAGCTGATGAACTTGAATCTGGGTGCGAACCCTTGAGAACTGTCTCTAAATCTTTTGCTACTACTAGTACTACTAATGGGATTGCAAATCGATTGATTTCGTTCCGAATGTGTTGATAACCTGTTACTTAAGATTTTCTCCTGTCAAGTTTGAATTTGTATTTCAGATTATATAACTAATGGCTGACACTGAAGTAGAGGTAAAGATGACGGACGAGGAGGTTCACGCCTTGACATCGGATGAACTCATTGAAATGGTCGGTAACAATGAGAATATACCTTACGAGCAGATGACGGACGAACAACTGGATCTCATGGAAGGTGAGCTTGTCTACCTCAATTTTGAGCTCTACCCCAATTGCAAAAAAAAAATCATATTTGTTGCTACAATTTTTGTTTATAAGTCACTCCTTTTTTCTTCAGGCATGTTTAGGCATTATGAACAATTTTTGAAAAAATATTAAATGCAAATATAACAAGACTGCTCGTATCAGGGCGAAGCCCTGAATGTTCCGACTGCCTTTTAAGTTTTATTAAGCAGCAGTAATAACATAAAAAAATTAAATGAAATAAAACAAAATGAAAATTTTTTTTTCTAAAATTTGAAAATTTTTATGAAAATCATCCCCCCACACGCCATATAAAGTACAAAAAGAGAGATTTCGTTCCTTGTAACAAATCAATTATGGCAAATAAGCTTCGTTCAACCAATTTGGAACGATTTATAAGACGGATTAATCTCCGCTTACGCGTTAATAGTGCGAATTATATCTCGCGTTAATTGTCACAAATTGGTCAAAATGGCCAAAATGGCAATCTTTAAGCCCTCATAACTTTACGAAAAATGATCACAGGTGAAATATCTTTTCAAATTTGAGCTCAGGACAACAATACCTTTTGAATGATATAAAAAAATTCCGTCAAAAATGGCTAGTTAAAAAGTCGAAATTTGTCTGAAGAAAAAAAAAACCCACCCGAGCACAAATATTCCGTTACTTTCGTATCGAAAGTCGGAACAATTACTCATCTAATCGATATTCCTTTTCAAATGCTTTTATCTATCTATTATCTATCTATTATTATATATTTAAATGCGAGCTTCACTATCTCGCCATGTTTAAGCTTTTTCAACGTATTATTTTTGCATGTTTTACGAAAGAATTTTTTCACGTTTAAGCTATATCGTATATTGCAATGATTTAGAATTTTTTTTTCGATTTTCCAGTTTGATTTTAGTGGTTATTTCACCGAGTTTAAAATAAGCAGCCCAATATTGGGATGCTGTCCGGAATCACCAAGGGGTTGCGAATTTGGCCTTCAATTTTGAATGGCCAATTTCTTTTTAGTTAACGAGATAAGACAATTTTGGTGATTTTTTCAAAAATATTCAGAAAACTCATATTACCAATTATTTAAAAAAAAAGCTCGTGGTTCCCAACCATGTAGTTGGGTACTGTCAGAGTACTGTAAAGGATTGCGAATCTTGCCTCCAACTATGACTGCTCTAATCCGTGTAGTTTTCGAGATATGACGTTTTTTTTGTGATTTTTTCAGAAAACTTATACTGTTTTTTTTCATAATCTGTAATTCCCAACCCTGGAGTTGGGTCCTGTCAGAGTACTCTCAAAAATTGCGAATCTTGCCTCCAAAAATGACTGCTCAAACCCCTGGAGTTTTCGAGATGTGACGTTTTTTGTGATTTTTCTCTAAAAAGTTTCAGAAAATTTAAATATTTTTCTTTCATAATTTTGAAATTCCTAAGTTTAGTTGAGTGCTGTCAGGGCACTCTCAGGAGTTACAAATCTTGCCACATGCGACTGTTCAAATGCTTTTGGTTTCCGAGATGTGATGTTTTTTTTTCAAAATATCTCCAAGAAATTATCTACAAAGAAATTCGCACATTTTGAAACTACTTATTTGATGAATACACAAATTTATTGTCAGCGTATACCCAGGCGTCTCAAATCTTGCTTCTAAATATGAATGCTCAAATTTTTGTCGGGAATCTCAAGTTAAAAAAATTTCACGAAATTTGAATTTCCCAACCGTATGATAGGGTGCTCTCAGTGGTTGCAAAACTGGCCTCAAAATTTCTCCAGAGGCCCATTAAGTTTTCGAAACGAGGCTTTTATGGTTTTTCAAAATGGGAATTATAAAAATTAAAAAGTTTGAAATTACCAACCCTGTAATTGGGTGCAGTCAGAGTACACTAAAAGTTTGTAGATCTTGTTTCCAATATATGCGGTTTTTCATGAGTTGTCGAAAAAATTCGAAGCACCAGAGGTGCGTTAAATGCTAGTTTGTTTTATTTTGTAAAAATTTTCCTTTAAGAGTTGTATTCAAATGTTGTAGTCGTTATATTTATTCAATACTTTGACATCAATTGACTAGAAATTATGGCCGCCTTCATGGCTAGTGATGAACAGATGGAACTGGAGGCGGCGGCGACCATCAATGAAGAGGACGTTGAGGTAAAAGTTACGAGCAAGCAGCGGATACTTCGTGGAGTGAATAAAATAGACTCAACAAAGTTCTCAAAGTTCAGTGGTACAGGGGCTTCGGAAGGAAATAAGGATAAAAGTGGTCTCGACGAGTCAAGTTTGCAAAAGAGAGTTAAGAGCAAGTACGAGAGCAAGACCATCAAAAAGATGGATATGACCAAAAAGAATATGTTTGTTAAAAGACATGACATGCGACAACGTATGATCGAACCAAGCACTGTGATTCACGTGCGAAAACTCAAGTCCCATAAGATGGACTTCTTGAGCGAAGACCCAGGTTTGAAAGGCGTGATCATCCATGACCAGAGTGGGCTAAAAGCCAAACAACTGCTTGAATTTTAATAACTAACAGTTTTTCAGCCTGTGAACAATTAATCACAAACATAACGATCATTTTTTCAGACAGTCTCAGATTGTTGTCTAAGAGCGACAAATTACCTGTGAAAATCATGCATAAGAGAGCCTTAAACTAACAAAGAGAAACTTTGGATAAATGTCTCATTTCCGGATGAAAATGGACAGAATACTCAGCATTCGGTGAAGGTTTGCATGGCTTATAATTATTGACTTCAAAATACGATGGCACGAATGGAGACTTACCAATAACTTCTAACCATTTAAAGTGAATATTATTTGGTTTAATGAAACGCGCTGCTGATGGTTTTAGAAAAAGACCCAGTTGACAAAGAAGTAGAGATTGGCCGTCTAAAGCTGAAAGAGTTTTTCGGAATCGAAGAAGAATCGGCCAAAGGTAAACAGTCAGAAGTTAGTGAAGTGAAAAAGCTAAACGTCCAAGAATTCCTTGCAAACTTAAGCAGTAACAGTGCAGGAGAACAACAGGAAAAAGAAAATGAGAAACCCCAAGTAAAGAAGCTGAATATTAAAGAGGCATTCAATCCTGATGCACAAACCGGTGAAGATACCCAACCTAAAGAGCAGAGGAAGATTGGCAAACTAAATAGGTCACACACATTTGCAAGCAAAACACACGAAGATGACGATGAAAATGGCGAGGGAGGAGTGAGAGTGCAAAGAACCGAGAGCTTGAGTGTGAAGAAAATGGATATCTCTAAAAGGTTCCCAGCTGTCAACGGAGATCAAAGCGACAAACCAGTTGAAAAGGAGAAAGTAACTGTGGGCAAGATAAACTCAGCAGCCTTATTTCAGAATCAGAACGAGGAAGGCGAGGATTCAAAAGGCGCAGAAAAACAACCAACTCCAGGAAAACTGAACACTGCTTCTTTGTTCCAGCAAAATGAAAATAGCGAGGATTCAAAAAGTGATAAGCCAACGCCTGGGAAACTTAACGCTGCGGCGATGTTCCAGCAAACTGAAGATAGCGAGGGATCTAAGGCATCTGAAAAACTGACCCCAGGAAAATTGAACACATCTGCTCTTTTCCAGCAAAATGAAGAAGATAACTTCAAGAACACCGAGAAGCCCACGCCTGGAAAACTAAACGCGGCTGCAATGTTCCAGCAAAACGAAGAGAGCGATAAATCTACAATGAGTGAAAAACCTACACCTGGAAAAATTAATACTGCTGCTCTTTTTGAGAATCAAACTGAGAACGAGTTGCCTATAAATAGCGAGAAGCCTGCTAACGTTGGTAAATTGAACGTTGGGGAGTTTTTGGCAAATTCTGATGGGGATAAAGCAGAGCAGAAACCTAAAGTTGACGTCGGTAGGTTGGATATATCAGCGGTATTTGTACCAGATGACAGTTCTACTCCGGAGAAGAGCAACAAACCAGCTGTAGAAGTTAAAAAACTGGACATTTCTGCAATAATGGCTCAGCAGGAAGAAGGTGGGACTCAGACGACGAAAGAAAAGGAAAATATACCAGAAGCGAAGAAACTAAACCTGAATGAGTTCTTGCAGAGTAACGCAGAAGTAAAGCTGGACAAAGAAGTTCCTGTGAGCGTGGGAAAAATTGATCTGGGTTCGTTGAGGGCTGCCGCAATTGGGGAAGAAGAGGGTTTAGAAGGAGGAAAAGAAAAGGAGAGGAAGAATGTTGGGAAGTTGGACACGAGCAAGTTTCTGCAACCAGAGGGGGATGAGGCAGAAAGAAAAGAGAAGGAAAAACCTGTAGTGGGAAAGATACAAGCCGATTCGATCAAGTTTGATGCACACAAGGACCCACAGGAGGTGACTGAAGAGACTGAGGTTGGGGTTGGAAAGTTAAATGTCAGCCTGGATATGTTTGTGCGCGGCAGCGCCGAAGAAGAGGAGGAAAGGTTAAGACAGAGTAAATTGGAGAGGCAGAAAACGATCAGCAAAATAGATACCAGTGCGTTATTTGTTTCTGAGGCGGACGCTGAAGCGGAGCGGGAGAGAGAAGAGAAAAAGAAGATAGAAGTTGGGAAATTGAATCTGAATTTGGGCAAAGAGACTTTCGAAACGGAAAGTGAGCAGAAGTTAAGACAACTAAGAGAGGAAAAGGAGAGTAGGTTACACAGTATACAGAAAATAGACACTCGTACTCTCACTTTTGACAATGCCGAAATCGACGAAGACAAACAAAAGATGAAGATTGAAAGACCAGTGCAGGTTAATAAACTAAACATAACCGAAGAGCAGTTGTTTGCACAATCAGAACAGGAAAACAGTGGAAAGGAAAAGCAAACAGTAGGAAAGATAGATAAAACAAAACTTGATTTTTCTATATCGAGCACACCAGTTAAGAGGACTGCCGAAGATGCTCCGACTGAAGTGAAGAAACTAAATGTAACTGAAGCGATGTTCCAAGCAACATCTGGAGTTGCAGATGATGATGATGGAACCGGTAAGCAAGGAGGTAAAGTAAAGAGAAGCAATACAGTCGGAAAGATGGATGCAAGTCGGTACAAGCTGAAAAGTGGGACCGAGGAAGAAGGGGAGGGGGAAGGTGCTAAAGAGAAAGGAGAAAGAAGGAGTGTGGGAAAACTGAATGTAGGGGGACTCTTCAACTCCCAGGAGAGTGAGCGCGAACTGGAGGACAAAAAGAAAAGAAGCCAGAAGAAAAACCTTCAAGAGCTTCTGCAGGTTGAAAAGGAATTGAGTAAATTGAACCCTGTGGATCCGGGTTCGATGCATGCTCAGCACAAGAAGGGAGCAGGAAGTAGAAAGAGCGTCCAAGTGGAAGGAGAAGAGTATGAAACGATTGAAGATGAATGCGAGGCAGAAAGTGTCACTTTGGCCCATACTGCACCCTCGAATATGTTTTTGGACAACAGTAAGTGGAGTGAAATGGTTTATGTGGCGAAGAACACTGAAGCTAATAGAGAGACGGAAGCAGCATGCGAGTGAAAAGAACAGAATGAAAGGACCATAACTCACGTGGCAACCCATTAGTGAAGTAACATCACAAAAGACACCATAACCACCTATTTCCACTCTAAAGAATGTGTTCGTAGACCATTGCTCACTAACATCTCACAGTTATGAAAAATTACCGAAATTCTAGTCTGAACATCTAATTTCAGTAGAACTGTCTACAAATTAACTACTGACATCACAGGCACCAACGAATCTTGGGTTTTCAAAAGAATCTTGTACTAACTCTGCTAGGCGCTGCAATTACGGTTTCCGCTAAAAAAAGCAGTTTAATTCGAAAAGTGGAAACGCAATTTTTTTTTGGTCATTTGGCCTGTTTTTTCAAAATTTTGCCTGCTTCTTTTAAGTGCCTTGGGAGAGCTCGGAAAATCAATTTGGCCCGCCTAAAAAAGGTAGAAATTTTCGACAGTTTTTTGAAAAACCGCTCCCTCGAAAATTCTAGATCAGCCCGGGTGTAACTGTCATGCCCGATAATGACCCCCATGATAATTAAATCCTCGGTAATAATCACCAATAACAAGAAACAGTCAATTGAGTGCATAAATCTAATTTGTAGTCATCATTAACAGTCGGTGTGGTGTTGTCGATTGACGAAGTCGTGTCACGAAGAATGAACCATGGTTGTTCCAGAATAATGGTTTGTTAGGTACAGAGTCTATTATATATCAAGGTATTTTCAGGCGATGGTGCTAATCAAAAGCTAGAAGTGACTACTGACACACCAGCTGTGGAGGGAGGGGGAAAGGGGGAGTCCGCCCTCACCAATGGAGACAGCCAGAAGCAACCCACCTCTGCCTCGCCAAATCAGACGCCACCATCTGCTGCAGCACAGAAAGTAGCAGCTGTAAGTTAAACCTAAAATGCCTTTTTTTTCGCGATGTAAAAATTCGAATCACGTTATTTCAAGTTAATATAAGCATCATGTGTGTTTGGCTTTTCAATCTTAGAACGCAGTTGAAAAGCAAATGTGTCATCAAAAAACGCTTATATCGTCGTTAGCAGAATAGATGCGTCACGTCATTTCGAGATACTAGTTGCTGATTTTCTTGTACTATTGTACGACCTCGATCAATTTGAATTTTGCCATTATCGTCACATTTCCAAGAACACATAAGAACGAACAGCTTCCCCTGCGGTATGAGTTGTCCCTTTTTGATATAATCTGAGTTCACTTTGTTTTCCGGTTAAGATTTTCCGTCGCGTAAGTTAACTCACTCCTTAATTGTTTCATGCCACGCCCTTCGATGTAACTTGAGTTTTGTCTAAATAGCGATGATTCTTTCGATTAATTTTTCTGCTAACAAAAACGATTCTTTACTGCTAAAAAACTTTGGAGTAAGTCCAGAAGTTCCAATTTGTTATTGTAAATTTTATAATATATTTACTCTTGCGATAAGCAAGCGTATTACAATCGGGTACCAGACTTTTTCTCGTAAATAACTCGTCTGGTCTCCTTACCTAGATGCCTCTGTTAGCTACAAATTTACCGCTGCAGATCAATTTTGTGCGTGTTAGCATTTTTAATATGTCCTCTTCGAAATTTGCTTTTAGCTTGGTTGTAATTCTACCAACTAGATTTGTTGAAATATAATTTTTTTCGTTCTTTTTTGGCTTGATAGGTTTTGACCTATATTATATCGGGTTAGTGGTCTCATTTTGCGTCGTTATACGAGCGAAGAAACTTTTTGTGTGCGTCTATGTGTTTTGATGGTGAGGGAGACGAGTTTTTTTGGCTTCAAGGGTCTGCTAAGGTATTTTTGGCTTTGTTACCGCTTGGTAATTTTTTTCTCTGTTTATTTCATATTATTTTTGTTTCAAAACTAGACTTATTCATTTTGATAGATCTAATTTTTTGACATTTTCCATTTTTCACCCTTGCGATAAGCAAGGGTATTGTATAATTTTGTTTTCGACTTAGCGGCTTTCTTGTTTGTATCGCAAGTGGCGCGAAGCTCAGCTTCGCCATTTTGTAATATTTGTTTTTGATTTTTTGGAGATTCTACAGCCTTGGGCTCACCTAATTTCATTAAGTCTTTAACTAGAATTAGTTGTTTTGAAAGTGTTCCGAACCTCTTGATTGCGATAAAAATGATAACATAACCCGTTTGTTTTGATGTTGTGGTCAGTAGAATTTTATCCATTTCTAGCACTCGAGAGCAAATCTCTTTATATTAGTGCTATTAGTTATTTCCTCATAAATGACTTTAATTAGAGTCAATTCAAGGTAACTCATTCATGTAGAAATTAATTCAGGATAGTGCGAATCATGTTTGTACGATATTGTATGAGAATCAAATTTACCCTTGTTAAAGGGTTCCGTTGGTTTTCAAACCTACGAAAAAAGTTTTTTTTTTACTTTTATGATGGTCTCCTTTGAATTCTGTTCTAATTGTAGCTTACTTTTGCTTCAGTTAGGTTTGGAGCGCATTAAATTAGGTTTAAAAATAATAAACACAGTGGTAAGGCGTTCACTTTGAAATCGTCAGATCGTGTATTCGATCCCATGCCATGGCAATGATAGTGTGTGAGGACAAGCTCTCACTTGACCGCCAGCTTCAGGTCTACCACAACCTGACCAAATTTGGCTGCAATAGTGGTACCACGTAAAAAGTTCTAGACGCAAAAAAACGGCCTTGAGTCGCAAAAAACAGCTTAGCTCAGCAAAATAACACTGTCTGGAATGTGGGGAGATAATACAAATGGACTATCCTCGACTGTCAAGGCCTACTGATAGCTCCTCTGCGATTCGCAGGAACTACAATTATTATAAACGAATAAAAAAAGTTGAACATTGATAAAAAAGAGTTATGAAAAAATTCAAGTTTTATTGCATAGTTCGTTTCGGTTTCTAAAGGGTATCAAGTTAGATTTTTCGCGGCTCTACTTTTGATTTTTTGTGGTTCCTTTGTGAACAGTTTAAAAGAAACAGTAGTATGTCAGCCCCCAACAGACAGTTTTTCGTTTTTTTTTCGGTTCTAACCTTGACAAGCATTGAGCGCAAAGTTAATAGCAGGTAGCATCGGCTACTTAAAATGTGGCTCTTTTCGATGGAGGCCGCAACGTTCCTTAGACTCGGCGATAGCATGCGGGACGCGCCTTAAATATCAGGCTATAAACAGCTAAGTGGTTTGAAGTCAAAAAGCCTTCAAGTTATAAGAATTTTCATGGTCGCTCTTGCTGTTATATCTTGTCATGAAAAAGCTGTTGTATTTGGCCGTTAAAATGAGCAACATTATTGTGGAATAAAAGTTTACGAAATCTGCTTTGAGTCATCCTGACAGCTAGTCAGAAATGACGCATATTTGTTAGGTCGTGTTTTAAGAGTCGATGAACGTAGTTCAGAATTTTTTTTAGGTTCTGATGATTTTTTTTTTCAGGAAAAGTCCAGGTAAAATTTGTTCAGGCTCTAAATTACTTTTTTGCTGTTTGATTTTCGATTCTTTTAAAATTCAGATCATTTCTTTTGTTAAAAGGAAGGCAAACTCCACTATCGAACAGCAAAAGAGTTAAGGTCACGAAACACATGATCGGCTTCTAGTTGAGTCAGTCGAATTTAATTTTCTGATTTTTCAGCGAATTAAAAATTTTACTTATTGATCCAGTTTTCTCAAGTTCGCTTAATTTTTTTAAAAAAAAACGAACGATCAGTCTTAAACTTTTCTAGAAATTCAAAAAGTTTGAAGGCCATCTATTTTTTTTGTTATTTGAAAGTTGAGATTTTTTCAAAATAATGTCAGTGTTTTTTCTATTTTCTTGCGTTCATTAACTCTTTTCCAAATGTCTTTTGGCTGTTTGTTTTCAGAGTTTGACTCGCAGTTTGAGTTTTGATTTCTATGCAAGTTCAATTCAATTGTCTTTGTTAAAACGTATCTTTGCAATGTACGCTCTAAATCACACTTAAATAAGGCGTTTTGATTTTTTGGTTGTCCAGGAAAAAGTCTTAAAAATTGCTACGCTTAAGTTTTGGCGGTTTGAGTTTTGATTTTTTTATGTTCAAATCAATTTGCTAAAAGAATGCAAGTTTCGCTTTCGATTAATGAGAGAGCAAATGTCACGAAAAATATAAAAGACTTTGTTTCAGGACATAAGTTTTCAGAACTCTCTGCGGTATAAAAAGTACCCTCCGATCTGTTTCTCAAATTGGTTAGTTTTTGCAAAGAATTGCCATTAATAGAATTATTAATATACGTATTTTTTTTCTTTAAAATTGGAAAGCTGAAAAATAAAAAAAAAACGTTTCGGTGCCCCAGCGGTCACAACTTTCTGATGGATTGTTGTCCTGTTCATTATAATTTGGTAGTTGAAATTGGTATCCTGAAATCATATAATTTATTCTGAAAAACTTTGACGGCTATCTTCTAACACTTATGAAAATTTTCTCGGCGATTGCCAGTAATAATGAATGATTCGTTGTCACATGTTTCTCCCATTCTAAATTGAAAAGTTATCTGTGAACTAACTGTTCTGAAATGACTGTTTTTAAAGCAGATTTTGAATGCCTTCCTTATAAGTTTTCACCGCCATGTTCATGACTTATAGAATGTGGGATCAGTGGATGCCTCGCAGATGTGTGTTGTGTGTGGCAAGAGAGTATATGAGACGGAGAGAATAAGTGTGAACAGCAAGGGAGCTTCCAAAGTGTACCACAAGAGCTGCTTCCGATGTGCTCAGTGCAACAGAGTCCTATCGTAAGTTACCACCAGAACCAGGTCAACTCTCAGAACCAGGCAGCCGCCCAAAATGCATATTTTTACAAAAAAAAATAGCTCGTCCATATCCAACAATAAATTTCAATGGGCTCCTGTCGAATTGACCTATCTTTGGGCTTTGTTGCTGAAAACCTGAAACTTCTTCCATATGCATGCTTCTGTGATGGATAAAGACTTTTACGGTGCTGACTGAGAAAACAGTCTAGACACAAAGACCAATAAATCGAATTCACATGCTTGGTACAATGAATATTCTACCTAATGTTTATCACTGGTTTCTGGGCGAAACTCAGCAATAATGATCTAAGCTCATTCAGGTTTCCGGAAAAAGGAATGCTCTACATTGATATTTTCAGAATGGGCACGTACTGTTTGTCAGTGAACGGAGAGGTCTACTGCAAACCACACTTCCAACAGCTCTTCAAGGTCAAAGGATCGTACAACATCGAGTCTAGCAGTGGTGAGTCAATTTAAGTTGATTTCTATGCTAGGAACAACCGTTGGCTCAGTTTTATTTAACTATATTAGTCTGACCATCAGCGATAGCTGCTCATTATTTGGTGAACAAATTGCCGACTTATTTGTAAGTTGACAAAAACTGAATTTAGATCATCTATTATACCCAACGAAAGTGAATTCAAGCAAACCAAGAGCAAAGCTCTTCAATCCCGGGTAAAATTGAAAGATTTGTATTATTACGTCATAGCGCCAAGCCGGTAGTGTGAACTACCTACTTTCATGATTTTATTACTTGTATTCCTTGTATTCAATCATGTAAATAGAATATGAAAATCGCTGAAAGTTGAGGTATCTGGGAGGCTGTTTGTTGGTGTTGTCATTGTTACGCAAATCGAACTAAAAACATTTACAACATAAATCAGTTACGATATAGTGACTAACTGCAATCTAATAACTTATAGATAGATTACAAACGAAAACGAACAAACAAGAACGCGACATACGACATAGCAGTTCATTATTGGGTTCGAGTTAGGTTCCTGGTTTTATAGCGAGTCTCTCTGTTTCTCTCTCTCTTTCATTCGTTATTTATCTATATACTGCGGTTTGGTTTGGGTTTCCTTTGAACACTGCTGATAACACCGAGCAGTAGAGCAAGTGGACATACATGCGTATAACAGAGCCTAGCAATTCATGGCTACCTAGTTTTGACCATGAGAAGCCGCCAATAAACACTCTTATGCGAATGCGAAGGGAATATGGCATATAAAAGCTGTTTTGAAGGCTGGTTTCCAATTTACATGTACATGCAGGGCTAAAGACTCGGAGCTTCAGGGCAATTTCAAATTGAGTTTATTGCCTTTTAAATTTCACTTTCGCATGTTGGACAGGTCTTGGTTAAAGCTTAACTTAGTTGCCTAGCAGAAGTAACATGGATTATTGAACCAATTTATAAATTTAGGAAAAAAATAAGTTGTGTTCAACGTATGATAATCATATTTTTGAAGGCTAATTGTACTGATTACCAAGAATAGTGTATATAAGAAAAAAAGTTTTGAGCATATTTTTTTTTGGAATGAACATCTTCGTCACCCATCAAAACTAACTGCTTAAACTTCTTTGATGGTATCTAAAGCTAGACTAGAGCTCGCCTAATCGATCATTTAAAAATTTGTGCAATCATTTGGTTTTCGATTACTCTAACCGATCGATTTGCGGATGATTAACTAGTTTCTGAACTAACTGTGAGATTGTGTGTTACAGGTGCTCTCCGAGACTTCCATCGTGAGTTCAACTAAATCTCTGTAAATGGGCATGATTTTGTTCCTCTATCATATTTTATTTTTTGTTGTATATATGTACAAATGTCTGTGCTCATCTTTCGCGCCATTTTAGACGAAAATTACCGTCAATTGTATTTTCTCGTAATCGGATTGTGTTCGAATTTTATCGGGAGCTTAAATTGTTGTAGGAAGTTTGGAATATTCTCTTATAAGTTTACCTGTTTCAGAATCATCAGCAGAAAATGCAGCCAACTTGTCATCTCAAAGTTAGTAAAAACCTTCCTTTTAAGCTTAAATCTCAAGCGAACGCATCTGTTGTATTGCGAGCTTACTTCTCTTTTTTTTCAACTTGCATGAATTAGTGCTCAAATTCAGGACCCGTGAAGTGCTAAAATTATATTTGATAATTTAATAGCATGTTTTTTCTGCTTAGTTGGTACGGCAGCGTAGAAAGTTGACTGCGTGTAATTTGGCCAATCTAAATGAAGTAACCTTTTCGATCGTTTCTAAGTTTTCTCAATTTTGAAAGTTTTGGTTTTCGTCCTTAGACTATTTTAGTAGGTCTTGTCCTACAGTTTTCTAAGTTCATTTTACAGTTTTTTTCAGTTGTTGCTAGTTTTTGCTAATCCTTCACTTTTTTCTTTAAATTTTTTGTGCCTGTATACACGTTAAACACCGTGAATTGTGCGTAGCTCCGCTTCTTCACCACTGTGAATAAGTTCCTTTTTTGTGAATGCCGTTCGTATGGGGCTTGTATTCCGATTTCATGCTCTTTTCTGCCTGACTCTTTGAAGTGCTTTTAGTGCCGATGGTTTCGCCTTTGAATGTGCGCTCTGAGCCACATCAGGGGGCCCATATCTCTTCATTTTTGGATGGTAAGAGGCAAACCCAGGTGGCATTCTTTGTTACGTTTCAGTGAGGCGTAGCTTATCAGAATGTGTTTACCTGCAGCAACACGCGTCATTTAGTTTTATAACCAGACTATGCGGTCCCTGTTATTCGCATGTCGTTTGCTAATGTTGTTTGAGGATGCGTATAAAAGATACTTATTTCAAGCAGATGAAACTACAGTACAATTGGATAGCGAGAATGTTTTGTCATTCTCCCATTTGATATTGCTGCCTGTTGGTATTACCATCATCGAATCCAATGCATCTGATGACCAGGATTTGGTTTGATTTGTTTTTTTTTAAAGCTAATGTAGTCTAATCTTTTGTCGTCTGATGGTTTGTTCTATTTTTATTAAAGGTACATAGTAAGCGTGTTCGATGAGTCCGTGGACTTCTCGTGAATCTTTTGTGTAAGCGTTTTTTTGGAACCTGTATTGCTCTGTATTTTATGGCTTGGTTTATGGCGTTGTAGTTTCAGTTGAATTCAGATTATTGATTGTCTGCTCGTCGGCTATTACTCGTTTTTCCTTCCATTTGATCAATGAGAGATAATTGGTAAAAAGAACCATCTCAAAAATCCAGAAAAAAAGGCCTGAAGATGCTGCTTGCAATGGTTAGAGAAGATTTGATCCGACGGAACTTCGTTGCCAGTAAGCCAATCAGAACCCATTAGCCGATTAAACCCCCTGAAATCACTACCTATTTTGACCGAACATTGTTATTGCTAGTCTTCATCCTGTGGCGCGCATCCTATTAGAGTGCCTTGATCATAATAGCAGCATCTTCAAGTCTCATCATTTGGAAAACTATACCTCGAAATCCTCGCTTTGTCTTTGCTTTAAAAATCATCCCGGCGTTTTATATCCACTGGTCGACTAGTTCTTGGAAAGGAGAGTTAAAAAATGAGTAACAGCGGAAGCATTCTGAATGTAAGCGGAGACGTTGAGACGGTGCTGCGCCTGGTGAGTCTGAAAATAGAGTCGGTAGAAGAAGATCTGCAGTTCTACTCTAATCTGGACTGGACCCACCGAGAACTCCTGTCGTCTATGACTTCCATATTGTCTCACCAGCATCACCTCATTTCTCTCTCACTGCAACATTTGCACCAGCTTACCAACCAACTCAATCTAGTCACTGATCAAATTGATGGTGGGAACACCGCCACAGGCTATAATGAAGAGACGGAGATTGGTGATAGTAATGATAATATCACTAACAATAACCAGGAGCAGCAGTTAGGATCCTGTTCCGAATCCTCTTCTTCCACTGCTTCTTTGCAGCGTCGAAGTCCGAACACTTCAGTTGACAAAAGAAACGAAGGTGGAATTGCAGTGCATCTGAACATATTCATGTCCTATTTTCATTAGAATTTTGATTTCTTTTGGAACTTGCGTGTTATGCTGAAGTTTTGCGGTTCACAACAAGTTAAGCGAAGTTGTTCGGATTTTTTTTCAAATGGTTGAATTGATTAATTCATAATACTTGAGAGGTTCAGTGCGCTGCGCAGAGTTGTTTGGTCTCTATTACCTGGCAATTTTTTTGATCTCGATGTCTTGGAATAATTGTAATTATTTGCTTTGCGAAGTGTGAAATTGGTCCAAAATTGATTGTAACTTCTGCATTTTTGTCTTTTAACTATTGCATCTATTGAAAGGTGTGGAAAGATGAATGGTATTTTAGACGGAGGCGAAAACGGAGAGGGCGGTAGAATGAACAATGGTAACCATGAAGACGAGGACGATGAGGTGTCCCTGCCGGACCTGAAGAGTCTCAAGTCTCGCTTCGAGTCTGTGGCCAATGGGGAGTCACAGGAGATGGTAGTGATAGATAGAGATAACAGCAGTGCCTCCTCTCCCACAGCAGCAGCCAATGTTTCCTCTCTGAAGAATCAATGGGCAAATAATGCAGGTGAGGTTTCAATGTGCTCAACTTTTTAACGACGACAACAGAAAAAAAAGGCGATTGAGTTCAGTATTACGCCCTATCAAACGCGACAAAGATGTTCTCGTTGCATGTTTGCTTTCGAAAATTGTTGAAATTTTTTTCACTTTGGATAATTGCAAAGTTTGATCTCAAAATTTATCAACTTAGTTATGAACTTAGTGAAGACTCTTATATAGGTCTTTTTTTTTGTCAGGAAAGTCTTAAATTTTGTGCACGTTCAATTTTGATTTTTCGCGGTTTACTTGTGATTTCTTTTTAAGTTCAGTGCATTTCTATTGTTAAAAGGAAGGCAAACTCCTCTATCGAACAGCAAAATTGTGAAGGTCACTCACGAAAAACGTGATCGACTTCTAATTTTGAAAATGGAAAATAATTATCAGATTTCCCAGCGAAAAAAAGGTTATACCTATTGATCCAGTTTTCTCAAATTGGGTTAATTTTAACAAAAAAGTGTCCATCATAAATAGTTCTACAAATTCGAAGAGCTTTAAGGCCATCCAATTTTTGGTTCGAAATTCAGAAGTTTGCTGTCTGACTTTGATTTGATTTCCTATTACGTTCAATTTCATTTGATATAAAGAATATAAGTGAGCTCTCCATGAACAAAAGGGATAATGGCGCAAAAAATGTGAATAGTTTTTTAAATTTAAAATTGACCTTTATTGACCGAGTTTCTAACAAAATCTAAAATTAACCGCTTTCAGTTTTTGTTACGACCATTTGAAAAATGGAGCAACTTGTATTCGGTTGTTTTAGTTTTTTTTCCACGCAAAAACAGCTACTTTAAATAATCATCGGAAAGAGTTGAGTGGTATATCATACTCAAGCCCTTTCACTCGCGATTCCCAGTGTCGAGAAAAACCAGATTTTTCGTCTTATTCGAGCGAATAAAGCGAGCGAGCTGGCTTACAATAGCTTAATTTAATGGCTTAATGCTTGCAATAGCTTAATTTAAGCCGTAAAACTTAAAATCTATTTGAGTGAAGTTAATTTTTTGAGTATTTTAGCGCCTTTTTGGAATCAAAAATTTCAAAATTAGAATTTTTGTTGATTTTTTGGAATTTTTTTGTTGATTGTTTTTTGTTTTTCGGGTCGTTTTTCTACTAGAATTGTTTTCCAATTTGCTTATTTTATTATTTGTCGATTTTGCCTGAGCTCGAGTTTTTTCTTATCACAGCACTAATTGGAAAAAAAATGTGTGGCGTTTTTTAAGACTATGGTCGGAACATTCTGTGCTACTTGTACAGTAATCGGCTATCCTTGTTTCTAAATGGTTTATTTTGATGAAAAAGAAAGAAAATGGTAAAGATTCTTCAAGAGCTATTTTATGTGATGTATTCGAAAATTGAAAAATGTTCAATCAAAGTGTCATATGTTTTGCGGTTTCTTTCAGTTCATTACAACTTCTTCAACTGTCTGTTGGCTGTTTTGTTCACTCTCAGTGAAGCTCAGACAGCCAGTTGAGATCTTAATTTATGGAACTTAAGTGCCAACGTTTTTTTAATTAATGACAAAATTTATCCGTTTTCGTGTATTCTTTTCGAGCGATTTTCTAGATTTAACGATATTTTAGATTTGATTTTCTCTTTCCTGTTGTGGCAGAAGCACATCTTAAGTTTACGATTGGTTTGCTATTTTTACTATTTCCCTTTTCAAAAACGTGTAAGATTGTTTCCTGCCTCACTTTAAATATACGTCCGAGTAAAATTATATTTGCCTTAGGCTTTACTTTTTGCCGATGTTTGATGCTTTCGTTTCTCTATAAATTGCTTACCTTTTTCAGAAGAAGTATATAGTTGATCAATTTGCCTTAAGTTGGTTTCTGCAATTTGTCTTATTTTTTTCATTTTTGCTTGCAGTGTTTTCCTGTGCCTTCAGCGTGGAATTTATAGAAGTTCTTCGGCCTTTTTAAACTGAGCTGCTTGTTTAGTTTTATTTAAATTGTTAAATATATGGTCTCATCTTCTTCCATCATCTCTTAGTGGAAATTTCTCAACAGTTTCATGGATCGTAACGAACATTAGAAGTTGTTTAGTCGGCACTCACTACGTTGTTTTTGACTCTTGACATACTAATATTTCAAGGTAAAGACAAACCGCTTCAGATCTATGAGTTGTGGACTCAAATCAGGGGCGGATCTAGGGTTTTCTCGAGGGGGGGGGGGGCCTTTCAAAAATTTTTTGAAAATTTTGTTGACCTTTTTTCTAGATCGACCAAATTGATTTTCCGAGCTCTCCTAAAGCAATAAAAAGACCTTGGTCAAATTTTGTGCGCCGCAGGCAAAATTTTGAAAAAAAACAGTCCGAAAAAGGCATTTTAGGGACTTTTTGGAAAATTTTGTGTGCCGCAGGCAAAATTTTGAAAAAAAAAAACAGTCCGAAAAAGGCATTTTAAGGGTCTTTTTGGGAAATTTTGGCCACAAAATTGCGCTTTTTCGGCGCGCGGTCCCCCTTCAAAATTAGTAGATATTGGCGCTGAAGGCGACTTTACAACAATTTTAGGGTTCGTCACCAAATATGGATATCTCAAAATAGTACCAAGGAGGGAACCTTTGGGTCGGCAGGGGGTCGAATCCCCGAGGGGGGGGGGGGGCGTTCACCCCCCCCCCCCCCCCCCCTAAATCCGCCCCTGACTCAAATGAAGCGAGTCTATACTCACTAAAATTGAATCTTTGTTGGATTCGTAGACGACAAAGTCAATACAGTTTTGGGATCAAAGCTATTAAATTCCGAAAGTTGTCTTATCCGATCGACATATCCGTATAAATGAGGCAGGTTTTAATGTGGTGATTTATTTTAAAACATTTGTTTTTGCTAATTGGTGCGTTTTCTGATAGAATGGAAGTTTTTGATAGATATAGACTATGTGGTTCATCGATAAATAGTACTTATGTTTGTTTAGTGGGTCGGTCAGAGTCGGTGAGAATGAAGGACGACGAAGTGCAACTGTGCAGAAGCGCCAGTCAGTTGAGAGCCCAGTTCGACAAACCCAATCAGCACATGACTACAGCTACTGCACAGGACAACACCCCAGACGGAACAGAATCTTCCGAGGACCCAAAAGCCCAGGAAGTGATGTGTGTCTCGGGGGGATTAGCATCTGTGAAGAGTATGTTCGAGGGGGGCAACAGGAATGCACAACAGCCAAGTGGAAGACAGGTTGCACAAGATGAGAGCTTGCAAGCGGCTATGGCCAGAAGCTCAATCTCTAGTAAAACAATCTTCCAAAGTGGAGGCGCAGAGCCAAGCAATGATGACAGTGATACCACAGCGAATAAGTCGCAAGTAAGATTCATAGTTGCTGAAGCTTTATGTGGTTAATTGCGGTTTGCTCTATTGTAGCGGTTAGGGAACTGCTGTTTCAATCAAAACCTGTTTTCTAGTATGATTACGCGTTTAATTAGTAACGGTATCGCTACCGGGAAATATAACTCATCCCTGTTGGAAACTTAATTCGCGGAACTCTTTGGAATCCTCAGTGTACTTTACCATATTAATTTCCAGCTACTAGTTTTGCTCGTTTAGTGCAGAGGCAATGCACATAATTGCGGCAAAAAAATTCACAGTTTTGAGTCCAAGTTTTTGTAATTTGAAAGTTTATTACCTAATGGAGGATTCTGCTTAATTTATCGGTTCAGTTGCCACAGTATTGACATTTCTTCTGATTAAAGCAATTTCCATTTTGTATGAATTGTTTTCTTTATTTTCTATTTAGTCATAAGTAAACAATGAAGTTCATTTTATCTTAAGTTATTTTTTATCTCATTACAAATTTTGGAAAAATAAATTCGATTTTTAACAACTGATGCCTTTGCCTGGGTTGAGTTTGCAAATTAACTTTCACGATTGAAAAGTGTGCAAGGGAATGGAAGAATCGTGTTTACTCTAGATCTTTGAAAAATATGATATCCTTCTTTCTTATTAAGAGTAATGACCGTAGTGAGTACTCTCATATAGGTCTTGCCGATTTTTTTTTTTCAGGGAAAAGTCTTAAAATTTGTTCACGCTCAATTTTGATTTTTCGCGGTATGACTTGTGATTATTTTCAAGTTCAGTGCATTTCTATTGTTAAAAGGAAGGCAAACTCCACTATCGAATAGCTTAAGTGTAAAGGTCGCGATAAACGTGATCGACTTCTAATTTCGAAAATGGAAATTAGTTATCAGATTTCCCAGCGAAATAAAGTCTTACCTATTGATCGAGTTTTCTCAAATTGGGTTGATTTGATAAAAACAGCCTCAATAATAAATTGTTCTACAAATTCAAAGAGTTTTAAGGCCATCTATTTTTTTCTTCCGAATTCATTTTTTTTTCAGTTTCCTTACGTTACTTTTTTCATTACTCAGTTTCATTACTCTTTTCCAATCTTTGATTGGCTATGTTTTTCATAGTCATTTTTTGCAAGCGCTATCAAATTGGAACAAACTTTTTAAAGCAAACTATTTTCTTTCAGAATCACCCAAAGAACAGACATATTTTAAGCCTGTCCGCATTTTTAAATCAAGTTATATTCGAAGTCTGTTTAAGTAATGTTCGTTGTACTTGGTCAAATTTCGTGTTTTAGCCGTCCGGTTTTTCATTTCTTCAAATCAAATTCATTTGCAAGCGCTATCAAATTGGAACAAACTTTTTAAAGCAAACTATTTTCTTTCAGAATCACCCAAAGAACAGACATATTTTAAGCCTGTCCGCATTTTTAAATCAAGTTATATTCGAAGTCTGTTTAAGTAATGTTCGTTGTACTTGGTCAAATTTCGTGTTTTAGCCGTCCGGTTTTTCATTTCTTCAAATCAAATTCATTTGTTAAAAGAAACATGATTTGCGCTCACCAATAACCAAAGTGCAAATGGCGTAAAAAATTTGAATGGCTGTGTTGGCTCGTTTTTTGTATCTCAGACGGTGCAAAGCTCCTAGTTGAATTTATCTTTAACACAGGGCTAAGAAAAATTACATTGCAAAAGGGGTACATTCGTTACAACGTACAGGAGTTACATATGCTTAACCGTTGATTTAGTTTTTGTTCAATGCTTTATAGGCAATTTTTTACTAGGTACCTTAGGGGATGGAAAAAAATTAACAAGGTCCGATCAAAGAAAATAGACTATTCCCCTACGCGGCGTCATAAAAATTTCTGAGCAAACAATATGTGCTGCAATTAATTTAATTGACCCAAGAATTTTTAAGCACAATTGATTCCAAATAGTTGATTGATGATGTAGCATCAAATTTCAATTGTATTTATGGGCTACAAATACGCAGTTTCAAGTGTTCCAGCTTCGTACGTTGACTCAGGCCGCTGTGGCGTTTCAAGTCGGTGATGCTTTTCCTTGCTCAATTTGTTTGGTAACGACTCTTGTTTTCTTGCTTTTACACATGCGAGCGTAGTGTTATAGTATGATTTTGCTTTTTTTCTAAACCAAGTCACAAGTGCTCATTTGGTGGTACTTTTGCTATAATCACGATATGTATCTATGGAAATTCCTTAGCATGTATTCTTTACTTTATTGGTGGCTATTGGTTTCCGCTCATCGTGTGACCGTGGCACAAATGGAAGGACGTGATACCTCTAATATACTGGTCGGTGGTTCTAGGATGCAAGGACGCGAGACTCCTTATTTAGAGATCGGATGTTTTGAATCCGACACATGCAAAAGTCTATTATTCAAGGCTTTTTTTCTACTTTTTCTCGGACAACAAGTCGACGGGACTTCATGCCGAAAGGACTTCAGGCCGAAATTTAAACTCCAGGTCGAAATTCAAGCCGAAGAGACTTCAGGCCGAAATTGAAGCACCTCAAAACACCCCTTAGGAATGGCATCCGTAACCTCCATCAGCCGAGTTTTGAAATAAGTAAATTATAAACATGAAAAACAAAAAGCTGGTGAAGAAAGATCATGAAATTGAGAAATTGTACAAAACAGTTTTCAAATTAGTCATATGCCATGACTTTTTGGGATTGTGTTCGGCTTGAAGTCCCTAATTTTACGGTTCGGCTTGAATTCCCGTCTTTTTTTTCTAAACTAATTCGCAAATTTTTGTGCTGAAATTCAGTATCTATTTACAACTAAAATTCGGACGCCATTTAGTAGCATATTTCATCCGTTTCATTAATGCGCTTTCAGTACTACCTGGTATATGCTTAATAGCATGTGTGAAGGCAATTTGAGCAATGAGCATCAATTTCATGGTGCAACTGTTAAATTCACAAGGAAACATTCACAATTGCTTGAGGGGAAAGAAGAAAAAGATAATTCTTAAATTTGTTTCGCATGTTTGCGAAGCTTAGATTCGCCTGTCATGAATTTTCTGCATGTAGTAGTATTACTTGAAGCGTGTTTGCCTTCATTGATTTATGTGACTTTTTCAGCTAGCTTGATTACTTTTTCTAGAACTACCTGTAGACTATGTTTTAACTAGCTGGCTGCATGATTAATAACTTTGGTTAGGTTTATGAGGACGAGTCTCTTCTGGCGGCTAGACAGGGCAGGAAGGGACTGTCAGCCAAGAGTGTGTTTGAGAACACTCCACAGGACAGCAGTGCATCCACAACCACCAACGTCAACACGCAAAATGAAGAACTAGCAGCCATAAGGGCATCCAGGTGAAGATCTGTGCTTTGAACTTTTGTTAAAGGATTTTTTTGAAATTCCAGTTTAACTAATAAGGCCTATTGAGTCAATTTCTATTTTTGAGTCAATTTCGTTTTTGTCCATCAAATCAACCATAAAACAGAAAAGAGCTATATTTTTTGTTCTCGGTGCATAGGTCTGTGTTCTAAAAAGGCGCTATTCTGATGTTTTTTTTTTTTTAAAAAAGCTCTTTCTAGAGTTTCGGCGAAGCTAAGAAAATCGAACTTGCTGTCCTAAACCTAAAAAAGAGCAAAAACTCCTCAGCACACGGAGGAGTCAAATGTGTATTTTTGTAATTGATGCAATGCAATACAGAGGCACCAACTTGAGAGCCATGTTCGAGGGGGGAGCAGCAGCTGGTGGATCGAGCGAGCAGGTGCATATTGACAACAGCCAGAGTGGAGGGACGGGGACAGGGGAAGACGAGAGTCTGGCAGCCGCCAGAGCTAGGAGGGGAGTGTCCAACAAAGCCATGTTCGAGGTGAGTGAGAGTGCGGAGCGGAGAGTAGAGGAAAACAGGGGGACCAATAAAGAAACAAAACAGTTCAGCGGTCTGCTGATTGGTCCACTTAGGAAACATAAATTGACATCTTCAGCTGTCTTTTTTATGCTATCGTTGATGTTATCTTAGCTTCAGTTGTTTTTCTCGATGCCTGTATAAGGATTATTTTCAGCCGTGAAAGGGACTGAAAATGGTTTCATGTGCTTTAATTGAAGGATCATAAATGTCAATAATGAAATGATCAGACATAATACATGAATTGTGGATAGCAGTCATTAACTTATGAGTTATGATGAGTTATAATTTCTTAATTTTAGTCGTCCTCAGAATCGACGACGACTGTCGTTAGAACGACTAACAATGACACAGCGGGGCTGCAGGCGGGCAAGGCTAAAGATCTGCTCTCCAAATTTGAGTCTGGTTAGTCTAAACTCGTGCCGTGGTCTTCAATTCAAATTTATGGAGACATTCCTTGATTTGACAGGGTCGGTGGCAAAAAAACATTGGCGCTTTGAAACGTCTTTTCCGGTTTCTTAGTGACCATCACAACGTCCTTTGGCAACTCTATATGACCTGAACTTAGGTTCTTAAAATACTTCATTTCATTACTGGACAGTTCGATCGGATCAAGTTTTATTACAGAAAAAAATTCGTCATAAGAAGAAACAAATCTGTTCGATGTTTTGGAATTGTTTTTGTTCCGACCATTGAAAATGGGGAGGAGTTTTGTATTCAGGTGTTCATTTTTTTGACGCTAAAAAAACGTACCACTAAAAATAAGTGGAATGGGGCGATTGATATATATTAAAGCCCTTTCAGTCGTGATTCGAACGACATTAAAAAATTCCGAGTGTTGAGAAAAACTGGTTTGAAATTTTTGGTCTAATTTTGAGCGAATAAGGTGAGCGAGCAGTCTAATTATGAAAGGATAACCCATGAAACTCATGGGTTATCAACAGGCTTATTATAAAAAGATAACTCATTAAAAATTTCAAAAGAATTTCTGCGAAAAAAAAATTGATTTTTTTCTTGTTATTTTTGACTAAAACGGCTGCCAGATTTGTTTTTTTTTACTGTGACTGTCGAAATTGCTTAAGTTCCATGTTTTTGTCAGATCCTTTGATCACACCACTCACAAAAAGCAAAACTAATTTGAAAAAGTTTTTTTTGTGTTTTTTATGAGTATGGTCGGAACATTTTGTGATACTTGCGCATCAACCAGTTTTGATTGTGTTTTTGTAATAAATTGTAATATATTTTCTAGTAACGAAGAAATTTGTTACTGGGACTTCTAGTATGCAGACAGGCGAAGTGTATAGCATTACATTTGGCGTTGTTGTGAGGCTAGGTTGACCCATTTCAGGGCAAGTAGAAACAACCTCTGATACAGAGGATGATGCCGCACAAGGAGATAAAGTGGTCGAAATTGAGGCCTGTCTCAGTCGTCCCTCTCCAAGCATGATGACTATGCTGTTCGAAGACCCAGCCAACTGGGCCAAAAAGAAACCAAACGCAACAAGACCAACTCCTCCAGTTGTACCACCTAAAAAGACCACCACCACCACGAAACAAGAAACTACGAAAAGTAGTAGTAATAGTGGGGGTACTGTAATTACAACAAAGACCACTACCACCACGACTTCGAAAGGGTCAACCGGCAGCTCCTCCCAAATGACGGATCCTAATACACTTCAAAATGCAGACAGTGGAAATGTGACAGGCCATACACAACAGATGAATTTTACAAGGCAGACTTCAAGTGGACCTCAGCAACAGTTTTCACACCATCAGTATCATCAGGAGTTTCAGCCGGATCCCAACAGCTCCTCAATGATTTCATCATCTTCATATACGACCGGTTCTTTTTCTGGGGAAGTGTACCAGCAGCAATCACAATCCTTCTACTCGTCATCGTCGTCATCCTCGGACTATTACGACATGGAGATGAGAGGAAATAGTAATATGGAGGGAAACATGGCGGAGTTCAGTAATAACAGCAATGTGTCCCCGCATCTGTTCTACTCTATGGCCCAGCAGGGATCCCAGATGCCGGCAGATTTTAATCAGATGCAGATGCAGTACCTTGGACTGACACCCATCGAAGAGGAGGAAGGCAAGTCTGCAAGAGTGAAGTGCAATCATAGAGTGAAGTAACAGCACACAAAAATAACAACAGTTGGAACTGACCTCTTCTAATTTGGATGATTGGAACTCCTGTTGCACCCAAAGGCTCACTACTAATTGTGTGTTGTATTGTAGAAGAATGAGAGACTGAATTGTGTTCCTAACATCTTCATAATTCAGGTTTTTCAGAGAAGTCTACAGTCTGTCTAGTGAAAACAAGGACAGCGAGAAGAGAACAGTAGATGAACACCCCAAAAATAACTACAGTTGGATCTGAACTTGGACTAATTTCAATTTTTCACCTGAAACAAGCCAAATCAGCCTCTAATTTAATTTCTTATGAAAATTGTTGCACTAAAGAGAAAGATTGTTGACAAACAATCACAATTTACTCATTTCACTCGACTAACTTGAAGATATGGACTCAAACAGCTCGTGGAGGTCTCTGTAATATGCTGATTGAGTTAATCGATGACGACTCGAAATAGCGAAATGAAGTTGTTTCTTGCCACAGCTACATCGAATACTTAAACTGCAGCGCCTGTTTAACAATCATCTGCACATCAAAACTAAACTTTGGCTAGAATTTTGTGCTCAGAATTAACTAGTCGAAATTTATTTCAAATAGTATTATTGCGCTTGAGCTAATAATAAAAAACTAACTAAAGTTTAAACCAGATAAGTGTGTGATTTCTGATATTAGCTAACGGCCTTGTCTGTTGTCGTCGAATTTTTTTTGTCGTTGTGGAGAGAACGCATCGGAAGTGGATATTATAATAACAGTGGATATGCTGCTATCAAATGACTTGTTAAAATGAACTAACTATCCTGAAATTTTGTTTACTCCTTTTCATTCTCAAAAAGTTATTTGGCTCCTTAGTTATTCAGTTACTGATTTGTAACGATAAAACTGACCCAGCAATAGGAGATTTCTCTGGTAATTTAATTCATTTTTGATTCGTCAAATGCGTTTATGTAGGTTGAATCAGTTCAATTGTAGGTCAGGTGAGCAACGGAGAGAGTGGAGGCGGAGCGAGTGCGACTGAAGCGGAGACTGTGGTGGCCAGTGGGTCTGCCAGGAGTGGCAAGGCCATGTTCGAACAAGCACACACTAATGCAAATGAATCACAGGCCACAGTCAATGGAGGAGGGGAGACAAAGCAGGAGGTTGCCCCCAAGGTCAGTTCACTACTAAAACAGTGTTTTTTTTAAGTTTCTTTTGTATGCTATTCCAGTTTTGAAGAAATATTTAATAAAACAGAAAAAACATTTCTGAAGGAAGTGTGAATATCTCTACAGAAACTTTAGAGAAACGTTTCATTTACTCTATATCTCTCTATTTTGTATCCTTTGCAATAAATTGCAGTGCTGATTAACACGATATAACGAACCAAAGTGGAAACACGAAACGCGTTCTCCTCAAATTGCGTTAATATTAGTTAAAAAGTGATTAAACTTAACAGAATTATAATGGTGATTTTTTGTTAGCGAAATTTAGACTCAAAATTTACCCTCAAAAAGTTCATTTCTGGCACCTTTTAGTCAATCAAATTACGCAAAAAGTACCGTATCTTATGTAGCTAGTGTTGGGTCCTGTTTGAAAAGAAGCAGGACCCAACACTGGGACCCTCGAGAAAATCCTAGATCCGTCCCTGACTATAATGTTTTGAACATGCATTTAATGATCTCCTGTTTTACTTTGTGCTTTGATCAGAAGTTCTCCCTCGGTCTCAATAGTCCTCTCAGTATGTCGGGCTCATTCGGAGGGAGCAATGGCCAGTTCCTTATTTTCCCCACCTCCTCCTTGACCTCCGTCCTACCGAATAGTACTCCTAATCTTCGATCCTCCCCCACTTCCCCATGCCCGCCTTCGCCCAGCCCTCTCTCCTCATCGGGGGCTGGAAAGGGGAGTTCGGTGCACACCCTAGTCGTGCCGCTGTATGACCAGGAGACGTGTAGGGTGTGTGACAAGAGAGTGTACCCTCTGGAACGGGTGGCGGTCGGCAACCAAGTGTTCCATGCACTCTGCTTCCGTTGTGCCACTTGTGATAATGTACTCAGGTACAATTGAACATGACAAACAGCAGAAACAGTTTCAATACAACCCATGAATCAGTCATCTCTATCAATTCATTTCAAGATATCAGATAGCCTGTAGACAACATCAAGGACAGTTACTTCATCATCAAATGAGTTGTAGAAGACCTAAAACAGATCATACTGCACCCATACGTATCTGTATATGAATCGGGCAAAGATCCAGTTCCATTCATTCAAACTTCATTTAGATCGTAATAGTCACCCACATTCCATATTAAGTGTCAATAAACGAAGCGAAGACATTTATTTATATCGTGTTTTTTTTTCTTTTTTTTTTGCAGAAAAGAAAGTTTTTCACGATAAAATTTGATTTTGAACGTTCAACCTCAATTCATTAGCTAAAAGGAAGGCAAATTACGCTGTCCATCATCAAAAGTTTAATTGGCGCAAAACAAACGTGAATTGACGTGAAAAAACGACATCAGTCACTTCTTTGTCGGTCTGCTTGAGTTCGTTGACACTTCCAAATGTCGGCGATAATTTTATTGTTTCGCTCGAAGCAGGCGATATTATAGATATAGACCTTCAAATATGTGATTTCTTATGACCATTAATTCATTGAACGAACTTGAACGCTTCGAAGATTGTAACTCAGGCAGACCTGCTGTGATCCAAACGAGCATTATGATGCCTCTTCCAACATCAATCAAAAGCTATTAGAAATGAATGTAATTATTTGTACTTGAAACGAATGTTTAATTGATTTTGTAAATAATTTTAGGACGGGTAACTTCGCTGCCTCCCAGGACCACTTCTACTGCAGCCCACATTACCAGGACTTGTTCAAACCCAAGGGCACTACCCTCTCCCAGACCATCACGAGAAATACCCTCTGGGGTCCCAGTGTGGCCAGAATGTCCAGCAAACGAAGATCAAATGCACACCCTCCCACCCCCCTCAACGTCGCTTAGATTCTTCTCCCGTCTTGTTGAAATTAAACCCGCTTCTGTGCACAACCACCGGATGAGATACTTTTCAGATTATCTTGCTAGACTCACCTGAAAAGGAAACGTATGGTACTGTCGTAAAATAAAACTGACATATTGCTAAGTATTAATAGTTTGTTTGTTTATTACTATCATCCGGTCCTTATTTGACATTAAAGAACTTTTCGATGAAGTCGTAAAATAAGTGAATGAAGCCAACTTGTTTCATGAAAACTTATCTATTGATCGTCCTTAAATTGCCTTCTGTTTTGAGCTATTTTTCACCATTTGTTACAAGTTGCCTTATAATAATAAATGATAGCGGTTATAAAGTTTGATGGTTTGTTCATGATGTCAAGTTCGTTTGCCAATGTCATGTCATTAATGTATGACTTATCCTTATCAGCTTAAGTTGGTATTTGTAAAGGTACATTCAATATCTTTCGCAATAAATCACTCGTGTTTGTTCTCTATTCGCAATTCACGCTAAGTTAAGTCAAATTCGTTGGCGCTGTTTATTTTTCATCCAAAATCTTTTATACTCTCACAACCTATTTGTAATTGATGCTTAACTGTTGTCTTCTTCTTTCGCCTCATGTTAGGTTCACGACTTTTCAACCCCCGGACCCTTCAAGTTTTCTACCCTCGCCCGTCAAGAGATGCGGTATTGTGCTTCGTCTAGATTTGCATTGAAATTCTTTCCATTAAACTCATTTGAGGTCATCGTTAGTTTGCACTTGTTTAGGCTCCTCGAACGAACGCAGTTTTATAGTTAAATTGTTTTGACGGATATTCAATCATTTCCGAGTAAAAATATGTTGTCTTGATGTTAGCAAAATGAAATCGATTTAGAAAAAGTGCTGCGTCAAAATTCAAAGATTGGATATCTCGTTAAATATCTATTTTGTTCGATATTTGTATAATACATGAGATCTCAATAAATGACCATTGTTGCTAAGTTACGCACTTTGAAAACATTTTTGATAACCTGCAAATATAAGAAGCAACAATAGGACTGAGATGTCATTCGTTTTTGAATTGAAATATTTGAGTGCTTCGGGCTCGGTCCGAGCTAATCTGTTTGGTATAAACTTTGTAAAAAAAAACAAATTTCCTTTCGTTGAGTAATAGTATTGAACATTTGTTGGCTTTAGTAGAGACTAGAAATCAAAGTAGAAATTATTTTTGTCATCCAGTTGCGCTTTTTATAATCATTTAAATTATGTCTGCGCTATTTATTATGAATTAACAATTACGCTACCCTCATTTTATTCTAACCATTCAAAGTCAGTAACGTGCCCGTAGCATCGAGCAGCCTCAACCCTTGCTACGAAATACGCTAAAACGGAAGTTTTGGACACAGTGAATAAGAGGTGTGCTAAAGTTCGTTCAAAATCTCCTGTAGCTGAACAAAACATATGACACTTCTTTGTAGTTTTGTGTTGTTGCTAGGAATTTTACGTTTTCCGCTAAAAGAGTTCAAGTTGCTGTTTTTTTTATCTATTTAGGACCTACTTCATCAAAAATCTGAAAAAAATTGATAAGTTCAGAAAATATTTTTTTGATGACCCACTGCTGATTTTTAAATTGTCTCTTGTTTTAAATGCCTCATTCATTTAAGCGTCATTTGCTTCAGTGAAGTTTAATTCCAGTCTCAATTAACAAGGAAGATATTGACGTGAAACAACGTGGATTGACCATTATTTTCATAAGGTTGCTGGTCACCATCATCACCGAAGCGCCTTGATTCTTAAGCAACCTAGGCCAAAATTGTGTCTGAATTTCAGTTACGAAGAATGATTTTCGAAACTGCGCACAAGTAAACAATTTTAAAACCGATTGATCCAATTTAAGCAAACGGGATTAGTTTTGTGAAGATGATCAATGTTATGAAAACTTTATGAGAGTTATGAAAGTTCTGTTGTGGTATTCTGATTTATGAGACTTGAAAAATTTTTATCAGATAACAAGAGAAGGACAGAATTTAAACCTTGATTATCAATGAGTTAATAAGATATTTTTTGCAAATACTCCGAACTGATTGCTGCTATAATTGTTCCGGAACGGAAAAGTTGTCTTGAAGATGTCATCGCGTGTCTTAATAATCGATGAACATAGATGATACTCTTATGAATCGCGATGATTTTTTATTTCATTTTTTTTCTGGAAAAGTCTTAAAACTTGTTCAGGCTCATTTATTTTTTTCGCGGTTTCGTTATAAAATCAGATCATTTCTTTTGTTAAATGGAGAGCAAACTCCACTAACGAACTGCGAAAGTATACAGGTCACAAAAAACGTGATCGACTTTAAATTCGAAGTTTTACCTAAGCATCCAGTTTTTTTTCAGATAGGGCTAATTTTATCAAAAAATGTCAATCAAATTGAAATCTAGAACATCAAAAAGCTCTAAGGCCATCTAATTTTCCGAAGATTGAAAATTTTATAGGAATCAAGTCAGTGTTTCTGTTCTGTATACTTGTGTTCTTTGGCATTTTTCCAACTGTGTGGTCTTTTTTCATTTTTTTCCGCACAAGATGAGTTGCACTTGTTCCTTTAATTTAATTTACACAATTTTGTGCACTCCAAATTATTTTGTTAGCTTAGCTTCCAACTTAGAGCAATTATTGCTGCGTAATTTTGGCCTTTTTGTTGGCACACTGTAGTAGAAAAATTTTAAAAAGCAGTTAATTTTTCCAATTCTCTCGAGCTAAACAATTTAACGGTAATTCCTAGGCTGTTTTTCTCAATATTTTGATTTGTTAAAGAATCCATATACCAATATTTACTAGCGACTCAAATTTAATCACTATCCCATGAAATTAATCACTAGCCAATTGAGAAGATGCCTGAACATAGCTTCTGCAATTTGCGCAATTGATCTACAGTTACATTTTTTTTTAAATTCTGCCGCACCTTGAGAAAATTTTAGGTCCGCTCCTGGTTAGTGGCCCTGATGCTAGGTGCATGGTTTCTTGGACGTTGAATTTTTAAGTGTTTGACTGAAAGTCAAAGTTCCTTGCTATTTTACTGCCGCACCCCTCTTTTGATTATCAAAAAAAACTAGGGGACATTTTGAACTTATCCTGCTGGATAAGTTTCGGGTTTTATGTTTAAGTTATGAATCAGAACAGTGTTCTGGGCTCAGAAGTGTCTGAAAAACAGTTTTTTAAATATTGTATTAAATTTTTCATTGATATTTTTCAAAAAAAAAATATTTAGAAAATTGCTTAAAAAGTTAATAAAGCTGTGTAGCGTTTTGATGAAACTTACACATTTTGTTACAATAGCAAATCTCGTGTTTTGAGAACAGTAGATTTTATACAAATGAAGATGCAATCTGCTGCAATTATTTTTTTTTGTTTTACCTGTGCGCCGTTCTGAGCAACACTTTAACATGTGTTTTGTTATACAATCATCGCTGCGCGGTAAAAAATTTCAACATGTGCGTAATAGTGATGCGCAATACCTTCGAAATAAGCGTAAAAATTAATGAACCCAAATGCAGAAAAAAATAATCCCAAAAATTTTAAAGTGTTTTGCGATTGCCCTAATTTAAGCTTATTGGAGTTTCGAGATTGCTCTAATTTAAGCATAATTGGTTAATTTGTTCATCAAATGTTAGTATTGGCAAGATATTTGTGTTTGTTCAACGGTCTTTAATAAAGTTACTTGGGGTCGATTTTGCACTTCCTGGAAATAACTTTCGTTAAATTATACTACATTTGTCTTTACATGTTTTTTTTTTTAATTTAAAGTTTAGAGTGATTTTCTTATCTTTTATCAGATTGAAGGACAAAATAAATTCTTTGATTTACGCAGGGGTTCAAAAAGTTAGAAAGGTGCTTACTGAAAATCCTGCTGCTATGTTTAATTTTGCATTGAAGCATTTTCTTGTTTACATTTGGCTTCGATCACTAAAAACAGAAAGAAAGAAGTTTAGCTACAGGTTAGTTTTAGCTTTTTTTCCCTTGCAAAATGAAGAACGCACATTTATTCTATCACGTTGTTCTCACTTGTTTGTGTAATTCAAATCACTGGATATGTTCCAACCATAAAATTTCAACCATAAATATGTTTCAACCATAAAATTTCAACCATAAAGTTTCTGAAGTTTTGGAAAATTTTATTGCAACAGTTTCTATGGAAAGTATTCTAAAAACAATAAATTTTTAAAATTTTATCGTATTCATCAATACTTTGACATTTTTCCGTTTGCTGTTTTTATACCCCAATAAAAATTTTGTCATAGAACCCATATGCCATTAAAAGCTAGCGTATGAAATTAATCGCTAGCCAATGAAAAAGCCACTATTAACAATAAAGCTTCATTTTTGGCACTTTTTCTTTCTGTAAAAAGGACTTTGGTATTAACGGGGTAAGGAGGTGCAGACGATTATCCCCCCTCATTGATTCGAGACCCTAGCTTCGCAAAGTGTCCACTATTTGATAACATTTTAGGACATCCATTTTTGGCCGATGGACTCCAAAGTTTTATCTAAAGAGCCCTGTTTGCCAATATGCACTAATTTTGAGGCGGAGCGTGAAACACATTTTTTTTAATTCCAAAAAACTTCATAATTTTTTTGGGGTTTATTTTCAAAAACTTTTTTGAGAAGCTAGAAATCCTAGATCCGCTTCTGGTTATTTGCTCTGTTATTACGAGCATGGTTTGCTGGGCGTTGAACCATCAATTTTATGACTATAAATTGAAGATCCTAGCTATTCACAGTCACTTCCTCGCAAAGTTTCGAATTGATGCTGCTAAAAGTTTTTTGGGTAGCATTTTTATCCAATGGTTATGGATAGTTACCAGAGATCAGAAACATCTGACGAACAGTTTTTTCATAAATTCATCAAAATTTTGATTGGGTTTTTTTGTTCAAAAAAAAATGATTGCTAGAAAAGTATTAAAAAAGGTTGGTCTTATTGTTGGTCTTTTTCAAGCCCATTTCAGGTGAAAAATCAAGGAAGTTTTTTTTAATAGGCACAATTTTTTTCGCAATTTTTGAGAAATTCTCGACACTTGGGTTGTGGCGAATAAGGATTTGTACCATGTTTCTTAATGCTATGATTAGCTTGTGGAACCGTAACTTGAGTCCTTGTTCTTCAAAGTAGAATGGGTCTAAAAGAACTAAGAACATAAATCAAAGTCAGAAGTTCAATTATCTTTACAAATGAGAATCAACTGAAGACAATGTAGGGTAAGCGACAAAGTGAAATAAATCCAAAAACTGAGTAACAGGTGTGGCCTTGAACATGAACTGCACATGCGAATGGATTTGTCAATTTCATACACTATGATTTAAGTAACAGCAATAATAGGAACCAATATGGTTAAAAGGCCGTGATCTGACCTGCAAGATTATGACCTTCCCTCAACGCTAAAATTCTAAACTTGAAAAAAAATTTTAATCGTATGTTTTTTTCAGTTTTAAATCACTTGGCAGTTCGGTGGGCTCAAATTCACTGCTTGTCTGAATTCTCGTCAAGTAGTCTCATAAGTTCCGCCCGGTTCTCATACTTTTGCCACGCGGATTGATTCAGACTTTGCAGACTCATGTTCAGACTTTACTGACTTATGTTCAGACTTTGCAGACTTATGATCAGACTCTGCAGACTCATGGTCAGACTTTGCAGACTTATGTTCAGACTTTGCAGATTTCTGTTAAGACTTTGCAGGCTTATGTTCAGACTCTGCAGACTTATGTTCAAACTTTGGTTCAGGCTTTAAAGGATATGTTCAGGCGTTGCAGATATATTTTCAGATTTTGCAGACATATGTTTAGACTTCGCAGACATATCTTCAGACTTTACAGACTTATGTTTAGACTTTGCAGACTTTGACCTGCGTGGTGACTATGAACTGTTTGTCCCCACACGGATCAATTCAGACTTTGCAGACGTTATAATCAGATATTGCAGACTTTATGTTCAGACTTTGCAGACTTCTGTTAAGACTTTGCAGACTTTTTTTCAGACTGCAGACTCATGTTCAGACTTAATTGACTTATGTTCAGACTTTGCAGACTTATGATCAGACTCTGCAGACTCATGTTCAGACTTTGCAGACTTATGTTCAGACTTTGCAGTCTTTTGTTAAGACTTTGCAGACTTATGTTCAGACTTTGCAGACTTTTGTTAAGACTTTGCAGACTTATGTTCAGACTCTGCAGACTCATGTTCAGACTTAATTGACTTATGTTCAGACTTTGCAGACTTATGATCAGACTCTGCAGACTCATGTTCAGACTTTGCAGACTTATGTTCAGACTTTGCAGACTTTTGTTAAGACTTTGCAGACTTATGTTCAGACTTTGCAGACTTTTGTTAAGACTTTGCAGACTTATGTTCAGACTTTGCAGACTTTTGTTAAGACTTTGCAGACTTATGTTCAGACTCTGCAGACTCATGTTCAGACTTTGCAGACTTAGGTTCAGACTTTGTAGACTTCTGTTAAGACTTTGCAGACTTATGTTCAGACTCTGCAGACTCATGTTCAGACTTTGCAGACTTATGTTCAGACTTTGCAGACTTTTGTTAAGACTTTGCAGACTTATGTTCAGACTTTGCAGACTTTTGTTAAGACTTTGCAGACTTATGTTCAGACTTTGCAGACTTTTGTTAAGACTTTGCAGACTTATGTTCAGACTCTGCAGACTCATGTTCAGACTTTGCAGACTTAGGTTCAGACTTTGCAGACTTCTGTTAAGACTTTGCAGACTTATGTTCAGACTCTGCAGACTCATGTTCAGACTTTGCAGACTTAGGTTCAGACTTTGCAGACTTCTGTTAAGACTTTGCAGATTTATGTTCAGACTTTGCAGACTCATGTTCAGACTTAACTGACTTATGTTCAGACTTTGCAGACTTCTGTTAAGACTTTGTAGAGTTATGTTCAGATTTTTCAGACTTATGATTAGACTTTGCAGACTTTGACCTGCGTGGCGACTATGAATTTGCGGTCCCCACGCAAATCCATACAGACTTAATAAGTCTGAACATAAAACCACGACCTCGGCCCGGGGTGCGTCCACTCTCTTTAAGTAGAGTTCCTTTACCATTTCATGTTGCTGCTTGAAGTCGCCTTCTCTTGGTCATGAGCTGCATTCTGTCCGTCTGCTTTCGATCCAGTATCAAACGAGCCATCATACAGTTGTAGCCTTGTCGAGTCCACTTGTAGTGTCGGTGGCTACGAGCTTTTGTCTTTTTTTTTGCGTTTTAGGTGTGCCGTACCATATGTTCGTGTTGATTTTCCTTATTTTTCTCATATTTCTTCTGTTTTCATATACTTTTCCTTAAAATAGCGGATTGTTGCTCTCCCGTTGTTTTTCGCGACTAAGTGCGCCTGAGGCGTTCTGACTTCTGGCCTCCGTTTTTTATTTTCGGCTCACCGTAGTCAGAGGGGTTGTGCTTGAATTCGTTTTCTCGGGGGTGCCCTTTTCCGTGCAGAGAATTTCCACAGTAGAATCCGGTGTTCTGTGGTTGTTATAAGCCAATTTGACAATTGACAATCATCTTAGACCACTTCAACTTTTCATATGGATTCAAGAAAGCTCCGGGAAAATCGCAAAAACCAGATCACGAATAGAAAATAAAAAATTCAAACTGAATTAATTATCACGTGCAACCAACTAATTGATGTAAAATCATTCAAATTCTAGAAAGGGTAAAAGTCTTACATAGAAAAGAATAGATTGACCAATCTACACTGTTCGTTTTCCACAGTATGAACGCGGTGTTAATTTCTTGATTATCACCTTCTCTTTACCCAGTCTCTTGATTGCCGATGTAGACTCGGTGACTGATTCCACCCTTTTGTTGCCTGGCAAGGGCTACCAGTCTACTTGCAGTTCCTGTTCTTCTTGCCTCGTCTCCCTTGCTTAATTAGGATGTGAATGCTCTCCACTGTCTATTTTGGCTCATTGATGTCTCTGGTTACTACGAAAAATGGTAGATTTCTTATTCTCTGTTTTGTTGATGACGTCAGTGCTTTCTTATACTCATCAATGCCGATATCGCTCTTTGTTTCAATGTCCTGGTTCGCATCCTTGTCCAGCGTCTCTGTGTACAAGCAGTTATAATTTTTTCTTTTCCAGGGCAAGTTTTTATTGAGACGCTTTAAAGCTTATGTGCGATGCTGTCGTGTTCAGTTCTCTGTCGAATCTTTTCGAATCGGGGCCCTTAGTGTAGCTTTTATCTTTTGCAGTGCCTGTTTGTGCTTGAAAGATTTTTTTTTCATGCTTCCTTCATACATTCAAGTCTTTGTTTGGTTGTTTTTACCAACCGCTCAACAAACTATTTTGCTCTGTTGTCATCGTTTTCTGGAGCAGCAATTGGAGTAGCTGATCGGTTACTAAAATCTTGAACAAAGAAAATATTTTTAAAAAGACCAGTTTCATTTTAACAATGGTCATAACGGAATCTTCAGCAAACTAGCATCAAAAACCTTATGTCGATTTACACCTGCATCGACAAAATTAGCCAATGATCTGAACTACTCTTGCTGAAAGTATCAATTTTTATTATTGAAGGTCCGGGGTCTGAAAATGCCAGCTTTCACCATCCGCACTAAGTTTTTTTAGAACGCATGAAATTGTTAAAAACATCTGAGTTTTGCAAATTTATCACACTAAACAGTTCAGTTTTATTGCTTAGAACGTTTCTCATTGCATGAAAAATTTTTGCCTCCGCCTACTCGAAAAGAGCTCACTCCGATGCACAACCAAGCGCCGATGGTAAAACTGGCATTTTCAGACCCGGAAAAAACTGGTAACTCTTTGAAACTAAGGTTCAATAATTTCATGGAGGGAAACTCTGATCCTTTTCTTCGGTCAATATAATAATTTTGTTTGAATTCACAGTAAGTGTTGTCCTAAATCATCCTTCAAAACAGGCATTTTAGAGAGTAAAAATTTGACTTTGCGGTTAGTTTTGTCCATTTTTAGTTTTATCGGGTATTCAAAAAACAAACAATTTCTTAGAGGTTCGAATGCACAAACATCTTCAGGGCATGCTATTTGTGCAAAAATCGAGACACTAAACAAACTTTGAGACCTGTGTTTTATAGCTCACATAAATAACAATTTAGAAGCTAAAACAATCAACTACTATTCGGTTCTATGTTGAAAATTAAAATAACGCTGTTAAATTTTCCATGACTCAGTAGGATAAAACGGGTATTTATAGCTCCTAAGTTTTAAAAAAAGTCGCTTATGTCCCAGTGTAAAAGAGAAACGCATTTCTTCCAAAAACTGATCATTTGGCAAGAACTACACAATTGCTTATTAGCATTTGATGACTCTATTAATTTGGTCTTCTTTCAGACGGCAACAAATTTACAGCTTTCAAATAGCACTAAATGAAAAATTCTGTGAGAAAAGAAACCTTAATTTTGCGAATGATACAAGACTGCTCGTATCAAGGCGGAGCCCTGAATGTTCCGACTGCCTTTAAGGCCTATGGAGCAGTTTTTGCTTCAAAACAACTTGATACACTGCTAAAAAAATATTTAAAAAAATCATCCCCCAAACCCCAAACGCCATATAAAGTACAAAGTGATGAATTTCGCTCCTAGTAGCGTAGCAATTATGAAAATCGCCTGCTTTTATTAATTTGGAACAATTTCTAGGACAGATTAAACCTCCATTTATGCGTTAAAACGCAAAATATACAGCACGTGAATTGTCCCAAATTGATAATCTTTAAGCTTTCACTATCATAACTTATCAATATGATCACACACGAAATAGCTTCTCTAAATTAGAAATAAAGACAGCAATACTTATGGTACGATAAAACAAATTCCGTCAAAAATGGTAAGTTTAAGTTGTTCGGAGGAAAAACAGCATCATGAGCACAAATATTCCGTCCCAATCTCCGAAAGTCGGAACAATAATTGATGAAGTGCACGCTATTCAAGTTTGCAAACTTGAGTAATAAATATTGAATAAACAAAAATGTCATTTGTATTCTTTCATATGGGCCTGTTTTTTGACACACATGCTTATAGTTTGGTCCCAGCGGAAAACATGAATTACTATCAAATGAATGGGTTCAAGCCCATAGCCGCTGAATTTGAATGCTTTTTTCTTTCTTAAATGAGGCATTAGCATAGTGGTAAGGCGTTCACGTCGAGATCCTCAGATCGTGTACTCGACCCCATGCCATGGAAATGAAAGTTGGTTGCAATGAGCAGGCACTTGACTCTTGCTTCAGGTCTACTATAGCCTGACCGGTTCCTGTGAAAAATTAAAACAAATGGAAAACTCTTCGCAGGCTTTTTAAGGCCTACCTTCTCTTAAGTTTGCAGGATTCGAAAAAGAAAATCTTTTTTTTTGTAAAATTAACTGTACCATCAGGGGCGAATTTAGGGGGGGGGGGGCGGACGCCTCTTTCCTCTTTTAGGGATTCGACACTTCACCAAACAAAGGGTCCCCCCTTTGGTATTTAAATGACATCAGTTTTTGGCCGACCAACCCTAATTTTTAAGGCGCCTTGGGCGTCAATGTATACTTTTTTGAAAGGTAGCAGCGCGCCAATAAAACGCAAGAATTTTCATAATTTTCCAAAAAAATGCATAAAAAACGGCATTTTGACCTGTTTTTTCAAAAATTCCTCTGCTGCGCCCCCGAGAAAAGAATTCTTGATCCGCCCCCGAGTACTTTTTTGGTAAATTGAAAATAATCACGGCTAATTTTTCTCTGAACCAATTTGAGCGTTCGAAACAAGTGCTTTTTTCTAAATTGGAACGTTGGCTTTTGAATATTGAAACTGGAATAGTTCATTTGGTTTATAGGGGCAGGGGGTAGATCGCAGGACATGGATGAAAATAAAAAAAAGTCATGACAAATAGAAACAGAGTTTTTCGATCCACCTGCGAAGATTATTTACTTTATTACACAAATATCAAACTTAATTTAGTTGATGTAATCTGGTCGCGTGGTTGAATTTTTCCGGTTGCTGTTGAAATTAATTCAACTTCAAAGGTAACTCAACTAGTTCAATGTGAGGCAGCCGGCTTTTGAAACCGGGGAAGTTTTGGGCCAGGGCGAATATGGGAGTTTTTATATCATGCCATCAATCATCATACGCTCGAACAACCGTCATTGTATTTCCACTCTTGATATCAATTTTCCAAAGTGGTGCTCATTGCATTGCGTCTGCTATTTAAATTCTCCTGATTAAAAATTTGATAAATATTCATTTGAATCACTTATTTCAGTCCGATTGTTTTGAAAGCATATTTATACAATGTAGAGGTTGAGGTAAATAAAAAATTAAATAATTGATCTTCATTCTAACTCTCCTTTGGCTGTTCTGCCGATTAAAAAAGCGGACTTTTAAAAACTTAGGCTCGCTAAAAAAGCGCACTTTTCAAAATGTAAACCTTTCAAAAAAAACGCAAAAAAAGCTATTTTTTTAAACAAATTTAGTCCTGGGGCGCATAAAACTTTTCTAATTTGATTCTTTATTAGGATTCGACAAGCTTAATATTGAAATTGCTGAGATAAAAAAAATTGGCAACGTTTAAGCGAATAATTTGATTCCAGCGAAGCACGTAATAGTTAAATGTTCCTTTTCAGCCCAATCTCAGCTCACAATGTCCTTCAAAATGTGTCTATCATTGATTCTCATCTCTTCAATTTTGATGTCATTCGTCCCTCCTACTGATTCCACGTGTCCCCCTCCACTTATGCTTATGGGGGGATGCATTCAGCATAAGAGGGGATATGTCAATGGGATGGTCTTTTCCCAGAGACGTTTTGCAGGCAAGTTTCAAGTTTCAGTCTTAGATTGCATAACAAAAAATAAGCGTTCTTGAAAAAAGTTGTTAAATGAACATACTGATAAATGAGCGAATAGAAAAAATCTGAGTAGCTTTCATGCTTTGCTACTTAAATGATGTCCAGGGTCGGATCTAGAATTTTCTCTGGGGGGGGGGTGTTTTCAAAATTCATAGAATGTATGCTTGTTTTGGCTTGAAAAAATTATTATTATTATTTTAATTTTGTCGACCTTTCTCTCTGGGTCGACCAAATTAATTTTCCGAGCTCTCCCAGTGCTTTAAAAAGACACTGTTTTGAACAATTTTTTTTGCCCCTTCCCTAAATCTGCTCCTGGTGAGACCCGTTACCATTTAACTTAAATTTTTTCTAACTCTGATTTGTTCAGCCTCCCTTGAAAAAACGAGGATGGAACTATGACGTACCCACTTTCAGGTACTTTAAATCAAGCTAGTAAGCGATCGTGTGTGCTATCTTCTTAAGGCCTATTACTTAAGAAACACATCTCGGTGGCGAGAAAAATGATTCTGATGTTTCTTCAATTTAGAATATTTTACCCCTGAGATGAGAAAAAAAATAAACTTATAGAAAACAAAAATACTTGTTGGAAAAATTTCACTGAAACAAAATTTGTTTTCTGAGAGCTTACGTTTTTCTTATCTAAGCGGTAAAATATTCTAAATTGAAGGAACATCAGAATGATTTTTGTCGACACAGAGATGTTTTCACAAGTTTTAGACCTTAAGATGATACCACACTCGATCGCTTGCTAGATTGATTAAAGTACCTGAAATTCAGTTAAAAACAAATTTTTACAAGCCTTAGTTCCTTTCCCATTCTTTCAACAAATGCTGAACAAATCAGTGGTGGAAAAAAATTAAGTTAAATGGTAACCGGTCTCAAGTACAAAGTGATTTATTTGTCATCAAATTACACGTAGTTTGAACCCTTTACTTTACCTCAATTTAATTCAGAATAATTTTCGCTCGGTTTACTTTGCCGCTGACGCTACGCGTTAAACGAAAATTGGTCTTGCTTGCTTTTAGTTATCCCAAAATGGCAAATGATCTCTGGGAACAAATTATTTTGTCGTTTACGAGAACCCTAAGGAAGAAGTTTTTGAATCAGAAGAAAGAAAAGTGATTCGATCAAGGTTTTTTAAGGAGACGGTTTTTTAGCGCGCTTTAAAAAACTAACAAATCAAAATGTCTTCTAATTTTTCTAAGTAGACTGGTTTTTAGCCGGCTAAAGACAATTAACAAATCAAAAAGCTAACTTCAAACCCGGCATTGGTTACAAGAAACCGATTGCTCCTCTGCGCTGGTGACGTTCCTCATGATGGAGGAGCAGAATGTTGGAAACTTATTTTTAGTTAGTTTTAGCCAATCAGAATTAAGTATTTACACAAGCAAAGCTTGTGTTGTAGTATGAACTATCTTTCTTCCCAACCTAAGTCGCAAATATTGTTGCGACAAAATGTGTTCATTTTGAAAGTGTGTTCATTTTGATCAATAACCAGCTATTTATTTCAGCCAATGCTAAGGATATCAACACCGAATATTATATTACAAATAGCAATTTAGCTTCAAGTTATCATGGATCTGTAGCGTAGAGGTAAGGAAGGAGACCAGCAGCAAAATAAGAGGGTTCGAACGTGGGCAGGGTCACGCTAGTCAATTTTCAGTACCATCTCAAATTGTTTTGTTCACATTTTTAAATCGAACTATAAATAAGCCGAATTGGCATAAAATGAAGAATATTTGGAAAACTAATCCAAATTATTTCAAGTAAGCTCCAGAGTTTTACCCAGACTAGTAAATAGACACAGAAAACAGCCCCAGGGAAAAAATGACCTTCGTATCTGCTCAAAGATCGGCCTTGTTAGATGTGGGCTTAAAAATAAAGTGTTCGCGTTAAGCAAATCAACCAGCGCTATTAGTATCTTGTTCTCATCATCTATAATTTGATTATTACAAAACCGCAAAAAAGAAAGTTTGGCAGAACAAGTAAAAAGACACTGTCTTTCGGAGTCTCAAACACTGAGCTCTGATTGGCTGACAAAGTTTCGGTCCTTCTCACATGAAGGGTTTCTATCAATTTAGAAAAAAAAATTTAAAAAAACTATTGGAGTTTAATATATTTTTTGGACTGTTCTATAGGTAAAAATTTTTAAATGAAGAAGCTTGATTTTACTCGTTGGTACAAAATTTTTTAGAAATTTCCCGAGTTTCCAGAAATATTTTCCACATGAATTTCTAGTCATCTTTTGTCATATGGCTATAAATGAAAAAAAAAAACTGTTGCTGAACCTAAAATTTTGACTTTGTGGTTGTTTCAGGTTCTCCGCGACTCAGAGAAGGAACAGAAAATCGATGATTTGGGAAGCGGAAACGGCCCTATATTATAAGATTCAATCATATACTTTTGGTTGAGTAACCTATTCAATGTAGTGGAAAACTTGCTGTTGCCCATGCACTATGAAATTCAAATTATTCCGAAAAAACTTCGCAATTTTAACCAGGAAAGTTATGCAGAAAATCGCTAGTTAGAAGCAGTAGAAATCAAGAAAAATACTGTTAAGATATTACACCCCCAATGGTATCTACTTAAGGATAAATGAGCGTGAATAACACAGCCGAAAAATCAACCAGAAGAAAATGCTCACAGCAAATAAGTCCACCGAAAATTACATCATTTGAAAGAAATGTTGCACGGTTTTCGTTTCGGTGGCATAATTATTATACAATTGTTATATAACACTTACTTATTTTTGGCTGGTTTATATGGTAGCTGGCTTATACTTTGGCTGATTTGTATTATAAGTTAGACAAAATTTCGACCAACAAGATTGCGGCAAATTTAGAATTCTCAATAGCACGCTCTAGTTCTATTTTACTGGCGATAGATCTAATTTAATTGGTCGCGTTGGTATATAAAAATTAAATGTAGTGCTGATTACAACTATCCGGACGAAATCCATAAAGCTAGATTTTTAAAACGCGTTCTTTTTAATTTTGGTTTATTGAAGACAAAAATTGATTAAGACAAAAGTTGCTTAAAATTTAAGCAGAAATAATTTGGTATTTTTTTGAGAAATTTGGGCATAAATTTTTACCCCAGAAAATAGATAATTTTTGGCTTTTTTACTCAATCAAACTTGGCCAATCTTTGGCATAATTATATCAAAATGAGCCTCTTAAGAAGCCCAACAAATGTAGGACTGGTCTTTCTTCATAAAGCTCTTTCTCCAAAATAGGAGATGGGTCTTTCTGCAAAATAGAACTAGAGCGTGCTTATGAAAATTTAAATTTTGCCGCAATTTTATTGTGTACATGACAGTCTCCCTTAAAATTTTGTGTACGTGACAGTCTCCCTCGCTTCCTTGAAAAAGGTCAACTTGTTAATTAGATCCAACTTTTGAACTTACTATCAGCTTCTTCAGGGGATTCTTTAGGAGACAATTAGTTCTGAAATTATTTAAGACATTTTAAGAACAATTCAAAGATGACTCAACTACGCACTGAGGCCGTTTTGTTACAAACTTTTTTAGCAAAAAATTAATCTCGGAAAATTTTTCTAGTTTTCTTTAACTAACTCAAAACTGAAAATGCTGTTAATCAAAGTCATATTTTGGATGCTTTACAAAAAAACGATTACTTGATTGCGGAGTAAGAAAAATTTTGCTTGAAAATTTTTACTAGACACACGTTCAGGTTAAAATTAGCATAGAAAAAATTCGCCAATTTAGTGCCTTTGATGATGACAATTAAAGTATCGAATAAATATGCGCAAATGAGGCAGGTTATTTACTTTGAAAAAAAGTTTTGAAACGATCGACCCGCGCATATTGATCAGTTAATTGCTGCTTTAGCTTAAAAAGTTTGATGATTCGGGACTCCTCTATCACACTTGTATCTGTGGTTCTTTTTTTACACCCGGGTGGTTTTTTTATCCAACTTTTGAAGAAAAAGAGAAATATATATGCTCGGTGTACATTTTTGAATTCAAACCAATTTTACAAAAATTTGTTCCCTCGGGAGATCAGTCATTCGATCTGCATTTGCCCAACAGGACGTGCACGCCACTATAGTCACCTGCAACGAATCTGTCCAAACTGATCTTTTTATACTTTACACGCGTGTCGAGTTATCTCGCACTACAAATTCGTTCCAAATTCAATTGAAGCAGCTAATTAGTTTTGTTAATTACATACACGACTCAAATTGCAAAACTTATATTTTAACATGATCAAAAAGCTTTGCCTTGATACGAGCAATCTTGTTTATAAAATGTTCAACGATCGAATAAAAGTTTTTCAAAAACATTTTATTTACATCAATGAAGAAACCGACTCCTTGAAAAAAAAAAGTTAACAAATTTTTCTATTCAATTTCTTCAAATTTTTCTGCATGAGCGATGCTTTTTGATTAAATATAGAGCATAATCTGATATAATGTAAACCTTCAGGCGTTAAAACCTATGTGCTTGTTACAATACAAATAAATGAACAAGTAACAAAACAGGATGCGAAAAATGAAAAAAAAAACATACAAATTGGTTGTTCAACATGAAAAATTTTATTATATCATTATAACGTAAAAAAATGAAATTTAAATGAAAGGGGGAGATTTGTGGAAAAAGCCAAAGTTTTCCATATAAAAAAGTTATTTGAAACTATTTTTTTGCCTAAACTCGATTTAAATTGAATGATTTCTGAGGTGGGTTAGTTCGTCGCTTGGACTACGCGGTAATAACAATCATGAAGCATGCACAAAATATATGAAATTGGCTTAATTGAGATTTTCAAGCCCGAATTACTTGCACAAAAGATCACAGACACTTTTTTTGAGCTACAGACATCGATATTTTTCAGTGGTCAAATCGATATTTTTCAGTGATTCTTTCAAAACCTGTTAATTTAAAACTGCGAGTTTGTCCGGAACAAAAATCTAAACTCAAACATTTTGTTTTTGCTTCAAAAATTGGAGCAGAAAAATGAGAAATTTGTCAAAACTGCTGGGATTTTTTTCTGAAACTTTAGCCCAAATTTGATTTAGAAATCTAAAAGGCAACCCGTTTTGCACTGGTTTTTAAAAAAAATTGCATAATTTTTGCACAATTTTCTAACAATTGCTTGTATCCTCTTTTTTTTTCCTCAAAACGTGTCAGCACTACTGGACTAAAAGATTAAACGTTTATAAAACATTTTTCGTCCGGGTAGTTTTCTATTCAAACTAGTCCCGGCATATAAAAAAAATAGTTCTGAGCGGAAATTTTTCAAAGCTCAAAAGGTTAAACGTTTATAAAACATTTTTCGTCCGGGGAGTTTTCTATTCAAACTAGTCCCGGCATATAAAAAAAATAGTTGTGAGCGGAAATTTTTCAAACCTCAAAAGTCAAATACTTGAAACAAATTGTGTACAATCATAGTTAAATCTACATTCAAAAAGTGTGACCACCACCCCAGGCACACGACTGATACAGAACACAGAATAATTAATTTTGCATGAAATAACATAATATTAAGATAAGTTTAGAGTCTAAATCTATAAAATAAGGTAAAATCTTGTCGAAACAGGGTCGAAGCGAAGCCGAGTCGTCTCGCGAGACATCCTTTACTAAAAACTTTTTCTGAGACTTCTAATTTGAATTATCGCTCGTAACAGCAGCGACGCGAGAGCATAGGACAAGAAACCGCCTACCAAACAACATGTTCCATTCGAAACTCGCTCGAGACCTTTTTTCTCGTCCAACATCACAATATTGCCAAGGTAGAAAAACAACCAAGCTATTAATGTTCTCCTCTCGTTTCGTTTTGTGGATAGATGGAACAACAATCCAAAATAAGATAAATCACTGAATAAATTAAATCAACTCAAGCTTTTCAAAGGTAATTTAGAGGAATCAGGATTTAGCCGTGCGATAAAAGCAGTCTTCTGTCAGCTATATCAAAGCTGTTTCTTAATTCATAGTGCCTGTTATAAAAGTTGTTTGTGTATTTAGTGACATTCCGAACTCTTAGTAAAGTATCAACTATTAGATGAGGTGGGATGTAATGCGAATGTGTTGTCCATTTAACAAAATTCAAGTCAGTTTTTTAAAGCCTGAAAAGAACACAGTCGTACTTATAAAAACCCAAAACTTTTTTTTTAAAATCAAATGGTGTCTACCAAAAAATATTCATAAAACACCGGTAACTAATTCATCTGGAAAAAATTAACGGAATTTTAATTTAAATTTAGTGTGGGTGCTAGCAAATGATATCCTTGGAATAAATTCTTTCACACGATTTCTCTTAGGTAAGTCATCGTCATCAAACATTTGTATTGACTAAAGTTGCTTGAAAAAGTCACAAATATCAACAGAGCTTGATTTTTGGAACTCAGAAAAAAATACACTACAGGAGCGTAAAAGATAACAAGGTTGCTCGTATCAGGGCAAAGTCCTGAATGTTCCGACTGCCTGTTAAGGTCTATGGATCAGTAATAGCATTAAATTAAAATCATTAAAAAAATGATTTGAGAAGAATCTTAATTTGAAAAGAATTTGAGATTTTTTTGAAAATGATTCCCCCAAACACCATGTAAGAGACAAACTGATAAATTTTGCTCAAAACAAGACTGCTCGCATCAGGCCCTGAAAATTCCGACTGCTTTTTAAGGTCTATGGAGCAAAAACTAACATTAAAAAATTAAATGTGATAAAAAAAATTAAAAAACGGAGATTTTTTTTTAAATCATCGCCCCACAGGCCGTCTTAAATATAAAAGGATAAATTTTGTTCCTTTAAACAAATCAATTATGGCAAATAAGCTTCTTTCAACCAATTTGGAACAATTTCTGAAAGAGATTAAATCTCCGCTTACGCATTAATAGAGCGAAAAACATCGCGCGCTAATTGTACCAAATTGGCCAAACTGGCAATCTTTAAACCCTCATAACTTTACAAAAAATGATCACAGGTGAAATATCTTTTCAAATTTAAGCTCAAAACAACAATACCTTTTGAATGAGAAAAAAGAATTCGGTCAAAAGAGGCTAGTTAAAAAGTCGAAATTTGTCTGAATAAAAAAACCAACACGAGCACAACAATTCGGTTACTTTTGTTACGAAAGTCGGAACAATAACACATCATTTATGGCAAATGAGTTCCCTTTAAGGTTTATGGAGCAGTGATAATCCAAAAAAACTCAATGTAATAAAATAAATTGAAACTTTTTTTTCTGAAATTTGAAATTTTTTATGAAAATCATCCCCCATACGCCATATAAAATATAAAAGGATAAATTTCGCTACTTGTAACATATCAATTATGGCAAATAAGCTTCTTTCATTCCATTTGGAAAAATTTCTAAGGCAGGTTAGATCTCCGCTTACGCTTACGCGTTAATTTCGTTACGAAAGTCGGAACAAAAATGATGGATTTTTTTTCTGTTTTGTACCAGCTAAATTTCTAAAAAAATTCCATTACTATTTTTTGAATTTTTGAGCT